TCCCCTGGGAGCCACTCTTGTATCGAGTATACTGCAGGTACATGGTGCACGCACGACTATCACCAAATTACCTCTCGCACCATTTCTCAGTTGCTATGTAAGTAACCCACAGGCCGTATTCCTACTGGCTCACCTGCGCGCCCTGGGAGCCACTCTTGTATCGGGTATACTGCAGGTACATGGTGCACGGCTGGAACACCTGCTTCAACAGATGACTGATCTCCATGTCCCCGTTATGAGCAGACCCCCTTCCCAGCATCAGCATCCCGCTCGACCCATTCAGTCCCCCTGCACCACCATCATCACCACCATAACCCCCATCCCCCATCAGCCGTATAGCCAGCAGCAGCAACACTCCCACTAGCAAGGTCACCTGCAGACCCCCTCCCAACCATTCCTGCGCCCCCCTCCTCCTCCCCTTTCCACCCCTCCCTGCCCCCTCCCTCCCCTCCTCCCCCCTCCCATGGGCACGTGGGCCAGCCACTGCACACCAGCTGTCAGGTCCACGTCAGTGGGTGCCACGTAGGCCTGCACGTTTTCCAGCATCACCGCCAGCTCGTGCCGGTTCCACTGGATCGTATCTAGATCCTCCCCGAATCCGGGCATGATGTCTGACGTGTGCGGTGCCACAGGGGCAACGGACGATGCTGCTGGTGCTGGTGCTGCTCCAGCTGCTCCCGCTGCCCCTGCTGTTATTGCTGCTGCCGGTCTTTTTTTTCTCCCATTGCCACTCCTGCTGCTGCAACTCCTCCTGTTTCTACCCCTACTACCTCCATCCCTGCTCCTGCTCCTATCCCTGCTCCTGCTCCTATCCCTGCACCTGTGCCTGCGCCTGCTTCTGCCAGTGTTGCTACTGATGCTGCTGGCGCTGCTGCTGCTGCTTGTGCTCCTGCTGCTGCTACAGTTCCTGATGGGGCAGGGGCAGAGTCCGAGGTAGCGAGAGAGGAGGGAGGGGCGGAGGACGAGAAGGAGGAGGCGGCAGGGGTGGCGGAGGGAGAAGGGGGATGGTGGGGGGAGGAGTGGTGAGGGGAGGAGTGGTGGGGGGAGGAGTGGTGGCGGTGGCATTCGTGGCGGTGGTGGAAAGAGCAGGCGGGGCGGAGGAGGAGGAGGAGGGAAGGGGAGGAGGAGGGGAAATGGCAGCGAGGGCTTCGATGGCTCCGGCAAAGACAGAGTGGAAGGTGCGGGCGAGCACACGCCCGCTCTTGGCTGCTAGGAGGAAACGACCCTGGGAGGAAAGGGTGGGGCGGAATGGCAGGAGAAAGTAGATCAAAAGGAGACAAAGAGAAGTGATTGGGACAAAGAGTAGTGATTGGGACAAAGAGTAGTGATTGGGACAAAGAGTAGTGATTGGGACTGGCAGCGAGGGATTCGATGGCTCCTGCCAAGACAGAGTGGGAGGTGCGGGCGAGGAGACACCCGTTCTTAGGTGCTAGGAGGAAACGACCCTGGGAGAGATGGGTGGTGAGAGGAGAGAGACACGAGCAAGAGGAAGAAGCGTTACGGGACGGAGGGGAAGGTGCGAGCAAAAGGAAGAAGGGCAAATGAATGCTCTTGGCTGTGTGGAGGAAACAACCCTGGGAGGAAATTATGGAGGATGGAAATAGGGAGGAGAGACTTTCTGTAAAACAAAAAAAACGAAATCGAAGGGACGGAGTGAAGAGGAAGAAGTGATATATGGAGAAACAGGTGGAAGAGAGGGCTTACTTACTGCACATGTCCTAAACATAACCCTGCTACAAGCATAGCAGAACTCACATGAGCATCTTCAGAGTGGAAGTTGAACTGAGGCCGAATGATGTTGATCATATAGTTCAGCGAGCAGTTGTCCTCCTCTCCCCCTCCTACCCCCATACCCGCTGCCCCAACTCCCATTCCTCCTCCTGCTCCCCCCCCTGCAGAACCACCCCCAGCAGCAGCAGCCACACCACCTCCTGTCTGGCCCCCCTCTGCCACTCCCGCTGCCCCCCCTGCTTCCGCCACTGCTTGTGCCGCTGCCTCCGCAGCAGCAGCCGCTTTCTCCGCCGCTTGCGCCGCTGTTTCCGCTGCTATCTGTGCCGCCACCTGTGCCACAACAGCAGCAGCGCCCACCAGCGGCGGCGGCACCCCGCCGGCCGCCTCCAGCCTCTTGCGCTGCGCCATCTGGCGCGACGGGGACGGCTTATCCGAGGCAAAACCCCTTTGGAATTCCGCCATCCACGCCCAGAGGGCGTCTCTGTTGCGCACTGTGAGCAGGAGTCGCAGCCCGGGGACCAGGATCCGCCAGCAGTTGTCTGCTACCAGCAGCGCAAGGATATCTGCATAGTCCTGCTCTGCCTCTTCCTCTCCCTCTTCCTCCCCCTCCCCCTCCTCCTCTCCCTCCTCTTCCTCCTCCTCCTCGTCGCTTTCCGAGTTGCCGTCCAGGTCGCTGATTCGGCAGTGGCTAGCCTTCCTACCGCTGCCCATCCCTCCCTCCCTCTCGCCCCCCGCTACCCTTCCACCTGCTGTACTCCCGGTTGCCCCCATGAGCCAGCTCTTCCACCCCTCGCCCACGCGCCACTTCTGGATCTGCTCCGCGTTCCCATCCGGCGCCTGCTTGCGGATCATTATCCCGTCGCACGACATCAGAAAGCTCTGGTCCGCTTTCGTCCACCCCTCGCCCACCACCGTACCTCCCACCCCCCGGCTGTTGCTCCTGAATCTAGCATCCGTCCCCCCACCCCCACCTCCTACATCTCCCTCCCCTGCTCCCCCTCCCGCTACCCCCCAGCCAAAGCTGCTGCCGCCGGTGCTTCGTCTGCCGACCAGCGCCTTCCCCAGTTGACCCCTCCCAGTCGCCCATCCCAATCCCCCCTCCCTCCCACCACCCCCACCTCATCCTCCCCCATCAACAACTCCAGAATCTTCCCAGAAGCTTCATCTCCTTCAAGAATCCGCCCACTCGTCCCCCCAACACCCCCCCCTCCAACTCCTCCCCCTCCTCCGCCGCCCTCCGTCCCGCCACTCCCCCCTTCCTGCCCCTCCCCTTCCCCCTCCCCACTCCCGGGCTCCTCAACCACAATCCTCATCCTCACCACATCCAGCCCCGTATGCGCCGTCTTAAACGATGGCCGCCTCGTCTTCCCGTCCCACGCCTTCAAATTCCGACTATAGCACAGCTCGTACACCAATTCCTCAACCAACAAAACCACCCCTTCCGCCGGGTCCGGGTTCCGAAACGAGTAGTGCCTCCAGGCCCCCGGGGCAATATGCAGCCGGATTAGCATTTCTGACATCACCTGGCTGAGGTTCAGGTTGCCGGACTTGGGCTTGCGGGCGATGCCGTAGCGGCGGCGGCCGAAGTTGCGGAGCTTGTGGGAGGAGAGGTACATCAGATTGTAGAACTTGAACAGCCACACCATGTCGTGGCTCGCCAGGTTGAATGTCGGCTGCCGGATGCTCGAACCCACATCAAACCCACCTCCTGCTCCTCCTCCTCCCCCCCCGTTGCCTTCCCCCCCTCCTCCGGTCCCACCGCCCGCTCCTGTTGACCCCATGCCTAGACCGTCGAAACTGCTGCCCATACCAGCACCAAAGCTGCCACCTACCCCAGATCCTCCCTCCCCTGAAGCACCTGCTGCGGCCATACCACCACCCTTACCTCCACCACCTACATTCCAAGGGATGCTTCCAGAGGAGGTCCGCCTGTGCCTCTGCATGTGCCCATGCGTACCTGGCCCCACCCCAGACTCCCCTCCTCTCGGCCAATCACCAGCCTGCGATGAGCTGCTGGACTCGAATCCGACGGACGAGAACGAGCCCCCACTGGATGACCGGTGGGCAGGCGAGCTGCCCGAGAAGAAATCTTCGTCGTCGTGGGTAGCGGCGGGAGGAGGAGGCGCGGGAGAGCGACGCAGAAGAGAGAGAGGTGGAGCGTGGTATGGCTGATGCCGCATGGTTGGGCCTTCCCATACCACCAGCACCACCACCAGCATTGGCAACACCAGCACTGGCAACACCAGCACCACCCGCACCACCCGCACTGCCAGCAGCAGCGCCCAGATCACAAGCACTGCTACTCCGCCCCACCCTCGTTCCCCCACTGTCCCCCCCCCTCTTCCCGTGCTTTTCCCCCCTGCTGTGGATCTCCCTCGCCTGCTCCTTGGACAAAAACCGCCAGTCCCAGCGGAAATTCATCCCAGCCGACCGGAACGGGTCGTACAGCACCGTCCGCATGCCCCGTTCTGTTGGCAGCGCATGCAGGTAGTGCGCGCAGGCATCCCCATCCCCCTCCACCTCCCAGTCCAGCCGAATATCCAGCTCCAAGACCGGTGTCTCGATCGCAGGGGCTCGGAGAAACTCGTCACCCTCCCACCGCCCGCCGTCCATCCCCCCTCCGACTCCTCCCCTCCCGAACGCGCCCCCTCCCCCCTCCCTCACCCACGCATCCGCCTTCCTCAGCGGGTCCTCCGGGACGCTCGTCACATGCGCCTCTAGATCCTCCCCCCGTACAAACATCTGCCCTTTCTTCTGGGAAAACACGAGCCGGGACCCCACCAGGGTGAGCATGTCGTTCTGCTCGTAGGGTCCACCGTCGCCTGAAGAAACACCTGGTAGTCCAGGGCTATGAACTCTGCATGCCCGTGCATGTAATACCGCATGATGTCCCACCAGGGGAGGCTCCGTTCCACAGGAGGCCACACAGGCGGAGCGGCAGCAGGGTCAGCCGCAGCCGCCAGCGCCGGCACAGACAGAGTGTTCTGCACAGGAGGGTAGGGGACTCCTGCTGCTCCTGCTGCCGCGGCTGCTGCTGCGATCACCTTCGCCTGCCGGGTCGTCGGCTGGCCCTTGCGCACGGCGCAGGTTACCGCGTAACTCACGTCGGCAAACAGCATGGGCTCATACCCCACACCGTACGACAGGTCCGCGGACTCAAACTCCGCATCTGCCTCATAGTAGAACTTCAGGGGAGGGGTGGCTCCGCTGGCCGTCCGGAGTACAGTGACTCGCCGGAACCTTCCGAGAAACACGTCGGACTTCTGCTGCGGCTGGTACACCGTGGCTTGCGCTGCCATGATCGCTGTCCCACGAAGCTTCCCGGAAGCTGCCGCAAACAGTGGCAGCGGATAGTCCCTCAGGGAAAACCTCAGCCCCACACAGGACAGCTCCACTGCTCTCGCATACATCCTCGCAATCGGCACGTTTTCTGAGGCTGGAATAGTGTCGAGCTCACGAATCTTAGCCACCGTGCCTTGCCGCCCGTGCTCTATTGGTATCAGAGCCAGCTCAGCAAAGGCAAACCACAGGCTGGCCGCACTTCTGCGGGTGGTGGTCATCGGGTATTTTTCGTTCAACCCGATTTTGTATGCCCAGCCCGTGCCCGGGTCTTTCACTAGGTTTTCGCACGCCGCTTTGTACGCCAGACCTGCCCGCCGGTGCAGATCCTCCCGGGCAGCCTGGAAACGCTCCCGGAGAAGTTTCATCCTGACTGCCGCGCCCTTGGCTTCGCCCGCAAGCGGAGCAGGACCCACAGCCTCTGCAGCAGCTGCTGCCGCAGCCAGCACCTGCTGACTCACCCCTTTCCCCCCTCCCCCTCCCCCTATCCCTCCTCCCCCTACCCTCGCATCCTGAGGCGACTTCTCCCCAGCATCAACCCCACCTGAAGCCTCTCTAGCCAACCCCTCCGAACCGGGGGGACTATATCTCCACCCCTGAGATTCTCCTCCTCTTCCTCCAACAGCCTCTCCCTCACCAGCCTATCCTCTACCAACGGTTTTCATCAGCTGCCGCCTCTCGTCCAGCCACCCCTGTATAGGCTCCTCCTCCACCTCCAATAGAAGCTCCTTCACTATAAGGCGTATGAGCCCCTTGCGCCGCGCTGGGGGTTTTTTGGGCTTGGGGGCGGAGGAGGAGGAGGGGACGGTGGGGGGGATGACGCCCTCCGCCTGTGCTGCTGTGACTGCTGCAGCCGTTGCTGCTGCCACTGCTGCTGGGTCCCTCACGGCTGCTGCTGGCCCTGAACCAGCAGGAGGCGCTGCAGGAGCAGCACCACCCACACCAGCATCACCAGCAGCAGCAGCACCACCACCAGCAGCACCACCAGCAGCACCAGCAGCAGCCGCCGCAGCAGCAACACCGGTACCACCAGCTCTCCCCTGCCGCATTCGCTGGGCGTTTCTGGCCATCTTCTGCGCAGCAGTGACCGCCTTGAGCACGCGCATCATGTCTTCCGCGCTGTCCTCCACGGCGCGCACCTCAAACTGGAACGGCAGGATGAAGCGCGACGAGCTCGCCTGGATCACATAGTCCCACACCGTCGAGGTGTCTTCCCCTGGCTGTGGTGGGGGGCAGAGGGGGGCGCGACCACCACTGGTGTGGCACTTGGGACTCGGGAGACCTGGGGGAGGGGAGGGAACAGGGGCAGGGGGAAAGTGGGGAGGGGATAGGGAAAAATCCAGTCTCGAAAGGTGACGTGAAAACAGGCCATAGGCCAGTGACTGTTGTGGGAATATCTCGGGATTTTTCTCACTGTACCTGCAACGATTCACTCAGGAGTATGGCTGGCAGCGAGATGACTTTTGAGTTGACTCAAAAGTTTACTCACCAGACCTGCAACGAGTCGGTCAGTCAGGAGAAGGGCTGGCAGCCTCATGATGCACACACAGGACCCCACAATGTAACACACGGTCCTTCACTCATTGACCCGATTGACTCATGTTAACCCCCTCCTCTCATCTGGAACGAGACACTGAGCAGCATGGCAGCATCTTCAGAGAACAGCCCCCTGGCCTCCACCCTCATCTCCGTCTCGTCGCCTATCCCCATATAATAAGAGCACTAGCCCCCAGACCTGCATTCCCCAGCCCCCTCTCACCTGGAACGAGTCACTGAACAGCATGGCAGCGTCATTAATCCGCAGACACATCCCCTCCAGGAGCGCCCCCATGGCAGCATCCTCAGAGAACAGCCCCCTGGCCTCCACCCGCATCTCCGTCTCGTCGCCTATCCCCACTGTCACCACCACCCCCGTCACATCCACTGCTATCACTGGCTTCGGCTTCTTGCGCTTGCCAGGCTTGCCCTGCTTTCCCAGAGCAGCAGACGAATCACCGGGCGCTGCTGCTCCAGCAGCTGATGCTCCTGCCACGTGCTCTCCCTGCTTCCACTGCTGCCAGCTGGCAGCTGCACCGCCTGCTGCGGTAGCGGTACCAACACTGCTGTCACTGTTTCTGCGCCTGCCAGTGCCACCGCCACCGCCACCAACCCCTCCCCCTAACCCCCCTACGACAGCACCGTCTAGCACTGTAGCAGCAGCACCGGCTGACTTGGCAGTCCCCACGGACCGTCTACCATCGCCCCCAGGAGCTACCGGGGGCAGCGACGCCCATGCCCCCATGCTGCTGCTGCGGGGAGTGCTGCCAGGTGACTTGTTTGGGAGGGCGGTGGACTGGCGAGGGGAGAAAAAAGGAGGCAAGCTGATGCCCGTGGGAAGCCTAGGGGAGGCTGCTGCACCTAGCTGGCTCCCACCTTCCCTTCCGAGAAGACTAAAATCCAGGCTGCCACCTGATGTAGCTAGCTTCTCCGCACTCCCTCCCTCGCCCTTCCCTGCATTCTGCTGCTGCGCCTGCTGCTGCGCCTGCTGCTGCGCCTGCTGCTGCTCTTGCTGCTGCTCTTGCTGCTGCTCTTGCTGCTGCGCCTGCACCTTCACCCCCTGCTCCCTTTCCTGTTCTCTCTCAGCCATCGCCCGCCATGCTTGCACCACTGCTTTCCGCCGACCAGTCACCTCCTTCACCTCCTCCCCCACCTCCACCACCAACACCTGCACATCCGGCTCCCACCGAGCCTCCAGCCCAGCTGCGGTAACCACAACCCGGTCCGGCGCCGGACCTCCGTCCGGACCTACGAGCCCCTTCTGCAGCAGCACATGCGCACTCTGGAGCCGGCACACCACCACCTCCACTATCACCCCATCCTTTTTCCTCACACCACCTCCCTCCCCTCCCGTCCCCCCACCAGAGCCAGCCACCTGCTGTCCCTTCCTCTCCAAATCCCCTCTCCCACTTCCCCACTCCCCACCGCCTCCTCCCCATCCTCCCCTCTCTCCACATACACCACTCTCGCCCCTTCCATCCGCACCTGCAGCTGCTTGCCCCCCGTCCTCCCCCCCACCGACACCTGTGGCAGCTCCACCCTCAGCCTACACTCCACAGCACCATGGACCTTACCCTCCCACTCAAACCTTCTCACCTTCGCCACCCTCAGATCCCCCTCAGGAGTTAGGTCAAACACCCGCTCGCCCAACTCGTCTCCGAAGTGCACCTTCTTGGGGTCCAGCACGTCGGCTTCAGCCACCGTGCACGGGCAGGAGAGCTCCAGAAGCGCGTCGTCAAGGACCACCCGGAACGCCTTCACGCCCTTGCTTCCCTTCCCCTTGCCCTTGCCCTTCTTCTTGGCGGTGGCAGGAGCGCCAGCAGGGTCACTCCCGGCCCCAGCACCCCCAGCAGCAGCGGCAGCAGCAGGGGAACCAGCAGCACTGGCAGCAGCAGCAGCAGCATCAGCCGCACCTCTCTTCTTCTCCCTCTTGACAAACTGCTCTGCTCGGGTGACCTCCTCCGCTAGGGTTCCCAGGAGAGGGAAGGAGGGGCGGATCCTGAGTCCCCTGACCCCCACCTGCACCATCAGCACCTTGTCCAGTATGCCCCCTCCTCCCCCCCTCCCTCTCCACCAACCCCTCTGTATGCTCCCCCTCCCACGCCTCTTCCAGACGAACTGGCACCTCCTGCTTCTGCTCCCCCCAAATCTCCTCCCCCTCCTCCCCCTCCTCCCCCTCCGCCCTCCTCCCTGTCTCCCCTCCTTCCTGGCGTGTCCCCATCCCCAAGCCCTTCCACGTTGTCAGGGATCCCAGGGCCCCACTCCACTCCCATCCGAGACACCTGAATAAACACCTGCTCCCGGGGCAAGGCAGCAGCAGCAGCAGAGGAAGCGGAGGCAGCAGCAGCAGAGCCAGACGTACTACCAGCAGCAGCAGCAGCAGAAGAGGCAGAAGGATAATAGGAAGCCCAGCCCACATGCGCTGCACCAGCACCCTCTGTCCCACCCAGCCTAGCAAAGTCTTCCTCTCTGGGTAGCCGCACCACCTGTACGCCTGAATACTCCACCTGTACCTCCATGTGACTGCCAGCACCAGCAACAACACCAGCAGCAGCAGCAGCAGCAGCCGCAGCCGCAGCGTCGGGGGGAGAGGCAGACGGGATGGAGGACGAGGAGGGGAAGGAGGAGGCAGAGGCACCAGGAGCAGCAGCACCTGGACTGGCCCCCAAGCTGCTGCTACTAGTCCTGCTAAGAGTAACCCTGGCTGCTTCAGCCTTGCTGCTGCTTCTAGACACGCCCGGACTGCTACTCCGACTCAGGAACGGGTGAAAGCCTCCTCTGCCGCCCTGCCCTGCCTTCCCAGCAGCGGCGGCAGGCGAAACCGGCCCAAAGGCGCCAAAAGAGCCACCAGAATGGGGGTGGGAGGCAGCCAGAGGGCCGGCGGATTGGGAGAGGAAGACGTGGAATTTGGCAGCAGAGGCCTTGTAGAGCGGTGTGCCGTCGTAGTCGTGCACTGTCAGCTTCGCCCCCACTGCCCCCACCACTGCTTCCAGCCTGAACGGCCGCTTGGGCTTCTTTGGCGTTGGACGCTCTACCACTGCTGCTGCTGCATCTGCTGCTGCTTGTGCCCTCAGTCCCACTCCTGCTGCTGTTGCCCCTTCTGCTGCTGCTGCTCTTGATGCAGCTGCTCCTGCGTCTCCTGCTGCTGCCCCTCCTGCGGCTGCCCTGTTCCCTGGCAGCACAGAGCCTTTGTGAGATGCTGCCCCTCGTGCCTTCAAACGCGGGGACAGAAGCCCGTCCAGATACCCATGCTGCTGCTGCTGCTGCTGCTCCAGCAGCTCCTGCTGGAGCTGCAGGTGCTGGCGCCTGAGCTTGGCTGCCTTTTTCCGCCGCATCTCCTCCAGCGCTGCTGCCAGCCATGGGGCGAGCGTGGCGGGGAAGACCCGCCAGTCCACGGCGGATAGCGACACGTCCACCTCTGCTCGCACCGGCTCTGCCGTCTGAGCGTGTGGTACATGAGAAGGCAAGGATGGGGGATGAGAGGATGAGAAGATCAGGTTGGGGGCAGCCACGTGACGAGAGGGTTGAAAGAGGGAGCAGGTGGGAGAGGGGGGGGGGAGGAGGAGGAGGAGGAGGAGGAGGAGGAGGAGGAGGAGGAGGAGGAGGAGGAGGAGGAGGAGGAGGAGGAGGAGGAGGAGGAGGAGGAGGAGGAGGAGGAGGAGGAGGAGGAGGAGGGGGAGGAGGAGGAGGAGGAGGAGGAGGAGGAGGAGGAGGAGGAAGAGGAGGAGGAGTAGGAGGAGGAGGAGGAGGAGGAGGAGGAGGGGTGAGTGAGGGGCAGGGCCAATAGAGGCACGTGATTCATGAGGAGCACAGCATGTCAGCAAAAGCTTGTGAGAACAGTGAAGTGGCACGGTGTGGAATGGGAATGAGCTCACATAGTGAGGGAAGGAGAGGCATGCTGACGTGGACACACGAGTGACTGACAGGGCACTTCCCTCCGCACTCTTCAAGATCTGAAGACGGTTGGTAGGGAGTAACAGGGCGGGGAGGGGGTGGTGTACAAAAAACGGAACGGAATGGCACTGTCAGAGAAGGTAATTCCAGGAAAAAAAAAAACTTAAGTTCTTTGCACAACCTGACTAAGTTCAAGCAAATTGGAGAGAGGAGGGGGGCCACAGAGAAGAGGAGGTGGAGAGGAAAGGGGAGGCCATGGTGGGAAAAAAGAAAAAGAGCCCATTGCTGCTAGCGTCAGCATGAACTCACCTCCACGATGCCGATGCTCATGTCCGCCTCAATTACAGAGAGGTCGGGGGCCGGGCGAGAGAGCGTGGAGGAGAGGGTGATTGGGCCACAGCTGCTGCGCAGTAGGAGGCCGCAGCGGTGGTGCCACAGGCGCACCATGATGCGCGGCAAGGCGACTTGCACCTGGTGGGAGCGGGGCGGAGAGAGCGAGTGGGAGATGAAGGAAAAACGAGCCTCAGCGACTGCAAGGGAGAAGGGGAGCGTGGAGGAGAGGGTGATGGAGCCGCAGGTGCTGCGCTGCAATAGCCCGCAGCGGTGGTGCCGCAGACGCACCATGATGTGACGCAAGGCGACTTGCACCTGGGGGGGTGAGGTGAGGGGGGAACAGGGAAATTGGATACGCTGAGGAGCAGCAATAGCCTGCACCAATGGTGCCTCTGGCGCACCGTGATCTCTGAGGCAGGGCGACTTGCACCTGGGGGAGGGGCGGCGAGCAGGGAGAGCGTTCTGAGAGATGCAGGGCAAGAAGCCTGGAAGGCGGTATGGGTGGAGGAGAGGGTGATGGGCCGGCAGATGCAGTGCAGTAGGAGCCCGCAGAAGCGGTGGTGCCACAGGCGCGCCATGATGCGCGGCAGGGCGACTAGCACCTTTGGGCGAGGAAACAAGACGATTTTATATACTGAGAAGCAGCAATAGCCTGCAGCAGTGGCGCCACACACCATGATGCGATGCAAGGTGACTCGCACGAGGGGAGGGCCGAGCACAGCAGGGCGAAAGAGATCACAGAGTGGAGAAGCAAAGCAATGATGAGGGGGAGACGCTGGAATGCAGGACTGCTTTTGAGTCGACTCAAAAGCAATGAGGGGGAGACGCTGGAATGCACGATAAAAACTTTTAGAAGCCAGAAAACAGTAAGACCAGTGCAACGCACCTTTTCCGGGAGGTTGGGCCGTTTTTTCTCATTCACCAGCACGGGAACATCGGCCACTGCAGCAGCAGCAGCAGCAGCAGGAGTGGGCTGCGCAGCAGGGGGGCGTTTGGGGGCTTGACGATGCGCAGAGCGAGCAGGCGCTCGGACAGGTTGAGCTCGAGCTCAGACCACTGCACGTGCACCAGGCGCGTGGCTATGCCCACCTCCCTGGCGGGGGGTAGAGCAGAGGGCGGGACAGAGGGTTAGGGGAGAAGGGCGTGGACGTGAGAGAGCAGGCGCTCAGAGAGGTTGAGCTCCAGCTCCGACCACTTCACGTGCACCAGACGCGTGGCTATGCCCACCTCCCTGCTGGGGGAAAGAGAACGAAACAGGGAGCTAGAGGAGGAGGGCAGGGGGTGGGGGTGGGAGGGGGAGGGGGGAGGGGGAGGGGGGAGGGGGGAGGGGGAGGGGGGAGGGGACACACCTGAGCTCCAGCTCCAACCACTGCACGTGCACCAGCCGCGTGGCTGTGCCCAGTGCCCACTACTCGGGTCGGGAGGAGAAGAGTGGGGATAGGGAGGTGAGGGAGTGAGACCAGGGGGGAGGGAGTACGCGAGTGAGTGGAAGGCGAGGTTGAGCTCCAGTTCAGATCACTGCACATGCACCGGACGTATGGCTCTTTCCACCTATCTGGGAAGTCTACTTTTGAGGCGCCTCAAAAATAGACATGGCAGTCTGCAGACTGCAGGTGCACCAGACGTATGGCTCTGCTGCCCTGCTCACCTCTCTGAGGAGGAAGAAAGAGGGGACTGGGGAATGGAAGAGAACCATGGGATGGGAGGGATTGGACGAGAGTGAGGAGCACAACTATGGACGCCAAGGGAGGAAACGAGAGGCGTGCAGAAGGAAGGAGCGCTGAACGGCTGGAGAAGCTGGAAACACTCCCGTCCTTTCAACGCTCCATCTGCACGCCCCTCGTTTCTGCAGAACGAGCATTGGAAGGCTAGAGAAGCTGAATGGAGGGGAGTGTTTGCCTTGCACGAATTTAGCGGGTGTGCGTGCGACCATAGGTAACTACTAATAACCAAGCGGACCTGTCGAATCCGAGCGCCACATCAGTCGTCCAGCTCTCCAGCAGCAGCAGCGGCAGCGGATCCTCCCCATTCCCACCCCCTCCTCCCACACTCCCCCTCCTCCCTCCTCCACCACCTTCCCCTCCCCCCTCCACTTCACCTCCCCCCTCCTCTTCTCCTCCCCCCTCCTCGCCCCCCACGCCCCCAATCCTGAAGAGATTCAGCGACCGGGACCGGGGAGCAGGGCCCTTCTTAGAGGACGAGGGGCGGTGGGAGAGGGAGATACCCAGGAGCTCCAGCCTCATCGCCAGCTGCCCTTTCCCTGCAGTGTCCGCCGTTGAGAAGAGGTCGAATTCCCTCAGCTGGAAGCACACATCAGGCGCCTGGGTCGACCGCACCGACACGTCAAACACGCACAGGCGGACCATCCGAAAGAAGCTCCCCAGAAGCTTCCACCGCCCCCATGCGGCTGCGATCGCCCCGGCTTTCCTCCTAGGGCTGCTCGTTTTCTTCTTTTTCTTGCTGGTGGAGGGCGGCGAGGGGCGGAGCACGATGTCGACATCCTTGATCTTGATGCGCAGGCGGAACTTGAGGCTACTGATGGCCGCCAGGTGGCCCTTCACTTCCCGTATAGTCACGCTCTGTATCGGACCCTGTTGCGGGGGGGGGGGGGGGGGGGGGGTGTGGATGGAGGAAAGGGAAGCCGATCAACTAAATCCAGTACGGCAGCATTGAGGATGAGGAGGTAGAGGGCGGCGAGGGGCGCAGCACGACGTCGACTCGACATCCTTCAGCTTGATTTCCAGGCGGAACTTGAGCTGACGGCCGCCAGGTGGCCCTTCACCTCGCGTATAGTCATGCTCTGTATTGGACCCTGTTGTGGGGAGGGAGATGGGTGACGAAATTGTGTTACAGTACACAGTATGGTGGAATTGATTGACGGCATTGAACAATAAAGCACACATCTGGGAAGGTGACAATGGAGTCCAGTAGAAGACGACATGCTCTAGTGGTGAAGTGGGAACCTGTGCTAGTAACGAGGTGTGACACATTGTAGCTTGATTTGTGTTAACGGAGGGTGCTTGTGCAGGCAGTGGCGTTAAGGGAGGGTGGACTGGAAGTAAGGGGCGAGGAGGGGAATGAAAAGGACCTTTTTGAAAGCGCAGTGGATGTCCTTGATCTTCAGGAGGCCGAGCACGCGAAAGCTCAGAGAGTTCCCTGTGGTAACCTTGATCGCGAGGGTTACGATCTGCGTGAAGAACCTGCGTTAAAAATAATCGTGGAAAATGATACAGTTGACGGAATTGAGGCGGCGGTTCAGGGGAAACTGCATTCCTGGGAGCGAAATGAGGCTGATTGATCTGATTCGTATAATGTTGCACGCATAGTACGAATAGAGCGATTCACACAACAGAGCGATGACAGAAGAGCAACGGCTGATATAGTAGCTGATGGAACATCGCTCGCGATCAATCGGAGGTTCCACTTGAAGTGCTGAACTGGAGGGTCTTTCGTCGCATCATGACATCGTGAGCTGTCAAGGTCACACGAATTGACAATGGAGCTACAGTGCTCCTAAAATCGATAGTCTAAAGTGAAATCGGACTTGTTTCTCTTACTTGGAGACGATCCATGCTCCCACGGTGCAGACGATAAAGACCACGAGGAACGTGAGCGGCGCCACGTCCATCATCGTGCCGGCTACTGACGGCCTCCGACGCTTTCCGTTTCTGACGACGGACGACGAACCGCTCGTTACGAATCTACGTCATCCAAACGATAATCGCACTGTCAGTGACCCTCTCTAACCGCTAACGTGGCCAGAACAGCCATTGCAGCATGATCGCCCACCGAATACGGAACGCTGATTGAATCGAGCTGTGGTCTGCTGCTTTCACGAACCTAAGAAGCTGCTACATTCAATACCTGCTGTTGACTAAGGACACTACAGTGCACTGCAAAGTCAATACCAGCAGTTACATGAAGGGGAGGAGGTGGAATATTTGGCGGGAATCCGCCGTCAATCCCGCTGCAGAGTGATGGGCTGGAAATCTGCAAATTGTGCGTCACAGGGAGAAACCCGTCAGTCAGTCAAGGCTCTCCGTCAAGTCGGGGCAAAGCTCCGTAAAAAAACGGCCCGAGAGAGAACTTGATTGGGTAGAGTAACCAGGACGAAATGTCCGGGTCAAGTCAGGGAAGGGAGACCTGGAGTGGAGCCGAAAGTCAGTCAGGGCAGAGGAAAACTGTGATGAAGTGAAAGGAAAGTTTTGAGCCAATAAGGAACCAGCAGGGCAGGTTTGGAAGCATGTGCCTCCTTGGCTGAACCAGGACTTTTTGTAAGTGTAGTTTCTGTACTCCTGTTTTCGTCATAAATCGCATCAAAACTCAAAGGCGAGTACGAGTACGAGCCTTCCCTTCCCTTCCCCCCCACCCCCAGCTCTGACACAGCTTCTTACTATGATGAAAGGCCGAGCCAATCGTCCCACTTCTCTCTCTCATCCGTCAGTGATGCAAAAGCCAACTTCGTTTCCCCTCCCTGTGCTTCACCGTCAATCATTCTCATCCTGGCGTCTTGTTCCTCGAAACCTTTTAGTCTAGGAAAGCACCGGAAAGCTCCGTATCCCTGGCAGTTGAGTTTCCGTGTCAAGAGCTCTCATTGGGATTTCCGGCTCTTGACAGCTTACGGAGTATTCGTCCCTCAGAGCGATCACCTATATTGCAGCGTCACGGCTGCGTGAATGCCGTTACTTAGTTCGTTCTAGTTTACTCTAATTTCCGGCGCCTCCAAGAGTTCAGAGTCCGCGTCGGAGTCGTTGCAGATGGGGAAGCGCAAGTCGGCCGCGAAGCCCGAGGCGCGGAGGGTTCAGAAGGTTCCGACGACGTTCAACTGCCCGTTCTGCAACCATGAGGCCAGCGTCGAGTGCAAACTGTACGTAGAACGAGCGCAGACCGTAACTTCTGCGGATGTTACCCGGCCGCTGCGAGGTTCTGCGAGGTTCTGTTGTAACTTCTGCGGATGTTACTCTCGTCTCGCCCTGTTGGTTAAGATCGCGGGATCTTACACTTACTATATTTCCCGCTCGTCGAGAACTTCACGGTTCGCGGTACTTGGTTGGAAATAATTTGCGACACTGCCTGTCCACCCACACCGACTCTCTGGACGCTTGAACGCCAAGTGCCGTCGCGCGCGTGGCCCGGGTTCTGCTGCATAAGCCGCGTTCCCCCGCCGAGCAGTGGCGGCTCTTCTCCAACGGGTCTTTGCCTTGCGGCGTTCGCGTCCTCTCTCCCGACGCCGGCTTTCTCTTGGTGGGACCGTAACGCAGGCACAGGGACGCCATCCTGTCCTGGCTATCTATGATCCGTCTTTGCCTGATGAGTTCCCCCCATGCTGGCAAAGGGACGGTGTCTTGCACTGCGTGCTCACAAGCCAGCAGTGGGTGGCGTCCTGGTTATCGATGATACCCTTCGCCTGATGAGTTCCCGAGATCTGTACTTGCTCTTGCATGCATGCAGGGACCGCAATGCAGGCATTGGGACGGTGTCTTGCCGTGTGTGCTCTGAGCAATACCAAACCACCATCGACAGTGAGCGCACCGCCATCCATCCATCCATCCATCCATCCATCCATCCATCCGTCCGTCCGTTCGTCCGTCCGTCCATCCATCCATCCATCCATCCATCCATCCATCCGTCCGTCCGTCCGTCCGTCCGTCCGTCCATCCATCCATCCATCCATCCATCCATCCATCCATCCATCCATCCATCCATCCATCCATCCATCCATCCATCCATCCATCCATCCATCCATCCATCCATCCATCCATCCATCCATCCATCCATCCATCCCTCCATCCGTCCGTCCGTCCGTCCGTCCATCCCTCCATCCATCCATCCATCCATCCATCCATCCATCCATCCATCCATCCATCCATCCATCCATCCATCCATCCATCCATCCATCCATCCATCCATCCATCCATCCATCCATCCATCCATCCATCCATCCATCCATCCATCCATCCATCCATCCATCCATCCAACTATCGATCTCACATTTTCATTTGGGCCATTGCTGCCATCCCATCCACTATTCTCATTAATATCCATATTTTTCACAACAATGCTCCCCACTAATCCTTACAACATCATGTTCCCCCTTAGCTACAATCCAATGTTTCTTACTGCTTTTGGCGAGACTTTGTATCCCTCCCCTCTGTGCCCCTCCTCCCATCCCGCCCCCTACTTTTCCTCCTTCCCTTCGACCCGGACCACAACGCTTCTGCTTCGACCTGCCGCGTCATTAACAGATTTGAGCGAGCCCATTGATCTGTACGTTAACGTACAGTAACCTTCTTTTTTGCCGCCTCGAGATTTTCCCCTTCGATTTCTCTCTTACCTCACACGATTGCCCCAGACAATCCTAGAGCCCCTCTTTTTCTTACACTCAAAACTGCATGCGCATTCATGCATACCTCTCTACATTGAATGAGTGATGAATTCTAATAGCCTAGCTCTGTTGCTTGCAGGTTTTCTGAATGGATAGATGAAGCCGAACGGGTTAATGCTGAGCAGTAATTGCCGAACGAGTTGATGCCCGTTGCGGCATTACCCAAATAAATTAGTTTTCCATTCGGTTTGTGCATATCCCTTGTATCACTTTCGATTTGTGGACATACGTGGATTCCTTTGATGTAGTAGTACCTGATCCTCCAAAATCTTGGTTGGAGGAGAGGGAGCATGAAATTATTTACCTCTTACATGAGGTTGGTTGTACGTTCGTGATTTTTTTGTATTTTACTGGTGTGTTTGCTTTGTAAGGCTTCGCGTTACGGAGGTGCTCTTCACAGCGCCTGCACTTTCCCAAATCACCTCAGCTCCAACAACGCCACGCAACCCTAAAAGCTGCGAGCGCTAAGAGCTTCTGAAGGATCCCTGGTATTGCCTCTTGCTTGTCTCTTCGCCTCCTCCTAGTGGTCTCGGACCATCCTTCACGTTCCGTCGATTAATCTCCGGGTAAGTGACTTGTCTCCGGAGCCGTAAGCCTATTTTTCCACTTTTCCCCCGTCGTTTCCGGTTTTGTTTCAAAATGTATCGCCAGTCGTCCCGTGTTTCACGCGTGAGATAACTCGCCAGATCTTCTCGTCGCGTCTCTTTCTTTAAACGCTTTCGTCTTCAGGCGAGCGGCGCTTGAACCATGACGGACGTCAGCAGTGCGATTCGCGAGCAGCAGAAGTTGCTGCAGTCGGCTCGCGCCTTAACCCACATGAAGGTTCCCGGCGACCGGATCACGAGCGTCATCATCCCCTCCGCGCTCGCGCTCGGCGCCGCCGTGCTCATTGTAAGAAACGTACTGACCGCACCGTACCGCACTGAACCGCTTTGAGTTCCGCACGGAAGTTGCTGCAGTCGGCTCGCACCTTGACCCACTTGAAGGCTCCCGGCGACCGGATCGCGAGCGACGTTATCTAAAAGCCCTCGCGCTCAAAGCCGCCGTGCTCATTGTAAGAAGCATACTACTCAACCGCACTGAACCGCATTTAACCGCACTAAATCGCATGGGATCGCACTGAGCTCCGCAGAAGCCGTTGCAGTCGGCTTGTGCCTTCGCGCACATGAGGCGACCGGATTGCGAGCGTCGTCACCCCTTCCGTTCGCGCTGGGCGCCGCCGTGCTCATTGTTACAAGCATACTGTGGAACCGTACTGAACCGCACTGAGTTCCGCTGTGCTTATGTAAGGACGGACGCGCTAAGACTTCCACATCTCGCTGCGTTCGTCGGAGCGACTCTGAGATAAAAGCAAGGGGGTTGTACCTTCTCTCAGGCCGCTGGCCGAAAACGGCCGTTTTTGTTATTTTCCTCCGCAGGCTGTTCGGCTTTCCCATCTTATTCTATCCGCTTGTGCAGCTTCTAATCTTATGGACTTGCTTCATACTCTTGTGTGTTGTTGGTGTGTTGCAGGGCAGGGGCATTTTCAACATGTCTTTTGGTCTTGGCAAGAAGAACTGAGGCTCTTCATCTTGCAAGAATTGCGGCCCTTTTGTACAACAAGATTACCAGAGCCTTCTTGGTATCACCACCAGAGCTGTAGTCTGATTATCGGATACCCGCACGCACAACTGTCAGCACTTTTGCCTCCATTGCTTACCTACTCTTGTCAGATCATTTGTGAGATGGTTCTGTTCTGTAGCTGCCTTGCCAGGGACGGTTCAAGTTTCAACTCATTGCTGTGAATACTCCCCCTCTGCAGTGTCTCTACTCTATACATGATCTTTTGTGAGTGGTGGTACTGTTCATATACACTATTTGAAGTTAACTAGATCAATGCCTACATAAACTATATGTTATGTTAGTGATGTGATCTACTACCTCACACCAGTTGCAAATGCCCCGGTCAGGCTGACACCAGGTGTCAATGCATCAATCAGATGAAAGGGCGTGTATCAAGTGTAAGGAAAACAGCGGCAGCTGACCTGACGTCGCAACGTGGTACAGTACGGTTCCGGAGCCGGTTACTTGACGTCATGCTATTCAGTTCAGCTACTTGATACACCCCCTTAGCAACAATGCGGTACAGGTCAGAAAAGCCAGTTCTCGACCTACCAAGGCTTCACAAAACAACAGGTAGAATTTGGTATGACTGCAACAGCTGCAGTCCCCGACACACCTAGGTACTAGCTGGGCCATATCAGGTCAGATGGTCATGAGTAGCCCGTGGAAATCAAAGAAGCTCACAAGTACCATACCAGCTCTGCAGCACAAGTCCACTCCTCCATTACGCATATCACAAGTACCACTATCACTCAGTGTCAAGTGCAACCAATCAGCAGCACTGCTCCGACCACTGAACATGCTTCTGACTGACACCTACCATCCTCCCTTCCACGTTCTCCCCCTGTTGGCCCCCCCTCCCCACCACACTCCCCACCCCACTTGCATAAGCCAGCAGAGCGTCGTGCGACCGATGACCCTTCCTCAACCTACCAGAGCTGCCGGTGCTGTTGCCAGTGCTGCCAGTGCTGCTGCTGCTGCTGCTGCTGCTGCCACTGGTGCTACTGCCAGTGCTACCACCGCCGCCGCTGCTGCTGCTGCCAGTGCTGCCGCTACTGGCGGTGGTGCCTGTGCTGCTGCTGCTATTGCTGTCATCCTCAGCTTGATCCACCAGAAGGGGCGTGAAGCACCGGTGACGAGGGGGGAGGCGAGAGCCATCAGGAGACAAAGACTCACTTGAAAAAACAGAACCAGAAGCAGCACCACCACCAGCACATGAAGAGCCGTTAGCACCGTTCGCACCGTTAGTACCAGAAGCACCAGAAGCAGCAGCAGCAGCCGCTCTGGCCACAGCAACCCTAGCATGGGTCACAGCCGCGTCCCTCTCTGCTCGCATCACCTCCAGCTGCCTCTTAATCTCCCCGTTCTGTCTCTTAGACTCCACTAACTCGCGCCTTAACTCCGCATTCTCCCTCTCCACTCTTGCTTTCTCTTCCTCCATCCGCCCCATCTCCTCCGCCTTTTCCGCGTCTGACGTGGACCACGCTGCCAGCGTGGCCTCCATTTCAACCACCAGCAAATCGCGCTCCGCCTGCGCCGCATCCATGGCTGCCCGCGATTCGCGGGCGTCCTTCCGAGCCTCTTCCAGCGACACCGCGAGCTGCTGCGTGGTGCGCGAAAACGACTCGAGCTTACTCTGAAGCTCCTCAAATCCGCTCGCCAGCCATTGCCCGTCCCTCGCAGCGTTTGCCGCTGCTGCAGCTGCTGCGGTCACCTCAAGCCCTGCTGTTACCGCTTCCACAGCAGTAGTGTTGGTGCTGCCGGTACTGTGCTTGCTTTTACGGAATCGCGAGGTTGCTGTTAACGGGGATGACGGCGACGCAGCCATCGCAGCGGCGCTCATGCGACTCAGCTCGTCGCATACCTCCCATGTGTCCTCGCGCGGCGGCGACGTCTTTAATATCCCCCTCTGCTGCTGCTTCGTTTTCTGCTGCTGCTGCGCCTGTTGCGGCTCGAGCGGGGATGAGGAGGAGAGGTAGCGGCTCGGCCTCTCGGGACGCTCCGACTGCGAAACCTTCCGCAAGCGCCGCCGTTCATCGCGCCGCTCATCGCGGGAAAGCCGCGGATTGGGCGACGAAGGCGAGGAGGGCGAGATGTGGCCCGGATTCCGCGGCGGCTGCCGTCCAGCCGCCTGGATGCCTGCTGCTGGCTCGTCAACGTGCTCCGCGCGTTGCGGCGTCCTTCGCTGCGGCAGTCGCGGCGACGGCGACGGGATAGACTCGACCCCCTTGGTAGCGCCGGTACTACCGCGCGGTAACGGCGACGGGAGTCGCGGCGAAGGTACTTGCGGTGAGTCGACGCCGCCGACGAGCAGCCGAACCGCGAGGCGGCGCGACGAGGTGGGTGAGGCGAACTGACCAGCGGGTGACCGTCGTGGCGACTCGGACGCGACGACAGATCCTGCGGCTCCTGCGGCGTAGCACGAGTTGCCGCCATCGACGGATACGGACCGCGCGAAGAGGGAGAGAATGTCGTCGATGTGGCGCTGACTGGACGACGACGTTGACGTTGGGACGCTATTGCACGGTGGGACGCGGTTATGCGAGGGGTTACGAGGCGACATTGCTGGGACGCGTAGTGGGCTGACCTGCGGTTCGCTGCCGTGCGGTGCGGTGACGTGTGGTGAGGGGTACTACTACTAAGGGTTAATGTTTATGGTTCCAATAAGTGGCTTTGTAAATAACCATGGACCAAACCCTCGAAAAGCGCACAATCGATATATGCCAAGAAAAAATGCTGGGGTGAGCGCCTAAGGAACGACGGAAGAACGAGAGACGGAAGAAAGTGAGGTGGGCGCTCGTGTTTATCTACAGCTGCGCCGAAGTTGCACGAGGGTTCCGGTGCCAAGAACGCTGTGCTATGCTCCGCCCGCCATGCTATGCTGTCCATTCCTCCTGCCTGGTCACACGCACTTTCCCCCCCCCCCGCATTGCTGCTGCTAACGACTTGTCTCTCACTTCCTTTAGCTAGTCTGCCTCCGTCACCGATGCTACTTTGCTATTAACCGCTTGTATCAAGACTCGCACCGCGTTTCACCGATTGTTTTGCTCTTCGCTCATATACTGCACTTGTCGAGCAATCTTTTGTTGATTGCTTTTCACCCGAAAACAATAGGGGAGATGATCCCATCAACTTTTTTGGGTTGAAAATTGTGCGCTGTAAGGGAAATCGAAACGGTGTTCAGCTGACGGGTATGGTCGGCACATTGTAAGTGTGGAGTTTCGGTTCAAAATCGCCCCCACAACTTGTTCCCCACAGATTCGATTCAAGGGGGCCAGGGGGTTCGCACCAGTGCATATGTTATCAGGGCATTTTTTCTGACGACTGAAATTCTAAAGTAGTTTTCATACCAGCCCTGACAGAATCCGGGAGGATCTCAAGGCGACCCTGGAAGCTCCGAGTAATATTTTTGGTGACCCTGATTTTTCCCACACCCACAGCCTCCCTTTCCCGGTGGCCCCCCCTAGAATACAAGTTTCTCCCACTCTCCTATCACCCGTCACTCTTCCTAGGACCCGGCTACCAGGCTACTAGTAGGGAAGGAGTACTTCCCACACCCCTATAATACATGTGACTCCGATGAGCCGCAGAGCGTGGAACAACCTCAAAAAGAATCCGTGGAAATCTGCACGCTCCGAGCATTTCTTCAGCTGGCCCTGAACAAATAAGGCAGTGCAGATTATAGCCCCGAGTTTTCAGGGTGAAATTTTATGATAGCCCTGAGCGCCAGAGCTGTCAAAAACCCTGACATAAGCCCTGGTTCGCACAACTAGTTTCCAATGGCGAATTCTAATAACCGAAACAGCTCGAGCAATCTCTTCGGTGTATTTCGGTTCGGTCGTGTACCTCCCACAGCCGCACATCTGGGACGACGGAAATTCCTTCATACCAAATTCTACTCATGGGTTGGCTAGGCAAAACATTCCTGCCCGAACATCGGGCAAAGAAAGAACGTACGAACGAACCAGATGAACTCAACACGGCAAAGAAACGGCACCAGTGGCATGTCAGAAAACGGGCGAAGTGCATCCCATATTCGAGATCTTTGATTGGGTACGAAGATTTGAAGTGACAGTCCCAGAGGGAGATGAACGCACAGCACAGCCGCAAGTGTGGCAGTGTGGCAGAGCCTGGCAACTGAAACGACCAGATGGCATCTCTCTCCAACTGGACTAAATCGGCACCGTACAACAGCCGTACCCAGCTCGTACGGTCCGCAATGTAACGACGTACGTAGTGAAACTGCTGCCTGTGGGAGTGATAGGTGCAACTTGTTCGTGGAAGCCACCAAACCGACTGCCACTTCCACGAAACAGTGACTCCAGCAAATGCAAGGCAGAACGACCAGGACACGTCACCATATCATCGTATACCAGCATTGGTTCACTTACATTGATGGCTAGTACACAGACACTGTAGACCATTATTCAAATTAGCCTATTTATCACAGTTTATTTTGAAGTTTGCCACTCTAGAAATGGAACTCCAATGTATCATACATCCAATATGGCAAGGGAAGCGACAAGAGAAGTGGAACCCATCATCCACCACATGCAGGACAAACCCAGAAAGTAGAAATTCCAGGTGTAGCAGTTGTGATATATTTTCCACAAACATGTCAAGAGAGCCTACAAAGCTGGACTGCCCAGAGAAGAATGTGCAGCATAAGGAGAGCGTGGAGACAGGCTTGAAAATCGGAGGGGTGGGCTGCCTCGGGAGAAAAGCAGTGCTGCATGCCCAGGAACTTTTGACGGGCTGCCCAGCGAGCGAGGCGAGAATCCAGGAGATGGGCAACTAGGGGACCTAGGATCATAGGAGGGGGACCTGGGCGGGAAAGAGGGGGATCTTGACGGATAAGAGGGCGATCGGGTGTGCTTCTGCTGCTGGTGCTGATGATGCCTGTGCTGCTGGTGCTGCTGCTGCTGATGCTGTTGCTGATGCCAGTGGGATGGGGATCTGGGCGGCAAACTCTGTCTGGTAGTGTAGGCTGCGTTTGGCGGGGATAGTAGCTGTTCGCTGAACGAGTGAGTGTGGAAGTCGCTCTCGGGACTACTGCTCGCTTGAGAGAGAGAGCTCCTGCTGCTGGCATGAGCACTATGGCTAGTCTGCTGTCCCTGCCTCTGCTCCCTCTGCTCCCTCTGCTCCCTCTGCTCCCTCTGCTCCTCGGGCTCCTTCACCAAGTAATCTACCCAGAGGTCAGTGAATGACTGCAGGGAGGGAGACACGAGGCACAACCGAAGGAAATGAAGTGCTTTAAGTCACGCTGACTTGCACACACACCCTCTATGCTCTCTGCTCCTCTGTCCCCCTCACGAGAAAGTATACCCAGAAGTCCTTCCTTGAATGCCTGAACTGGACTGGAGCAGATGGGAGGGGCAAGGAGCTAGACATGTTATGACTGGGCAGGAGCAGACATGCGGAGGCAATGAGTCGATTTTTTAGTCGACTCAAAAATCGACTCATTACACACGGGAGGGGCAAGGAGCTAGACATGTTTTGACTGGGAAGCAGCAGACATGCGGAGGCGCAAGAAGAAAGACGATCAAGTCACTCCTCCTGACAGCCTCGAGAGCAAGCCAAACGCTACTTCGCTTCTTGACATTAGCTCATATCCAAATGCGGTGCTGATGTCCATCGACACTCACTCTCTCCTCTCCTCGGTCCCCTCTCTCTCACTCTCTCCTCTCCTCTCTCACTCTCTCCATCTCCTCGGTCCCCTCTCTCACTCTCGATCTCCTTGAGATTCTCTCTCACTATCACTCTCCTTGCACTCGAATTCTGAAAGGAAAGCTTTAAGTAGGACACGTGAAGGACATGGTTATGCCGTCTGTCGTACCCCAGGGCTTTGAGTCGACTCAAAATCCGTCTGTCGTACCCCCGGGCTTTGAGTCGACTCAAAATCCGTCTGTCGTACCCCCGGGCTTTGAGTCGACTCAAAATCCGTCTGTCGTACCCCCGGGCTTTGAGTCGACTCAAAATCCGTCCGTCTTACCCCCGGGCTTTGAGTCGACTCAAAATCCGTCCGTCTTACCCCCGGGCTTTGAGTCGACTCAAAATCCGTCCATCTTACCCCGGGGCTTTTTGTCCCTGACTTTTTCCCTGCCTCTTGCTGCCCCTCAAGTTCCTTCCCGGCCCTTCCCACGTTCTCCACTCCTCTCCTATTCCCCCCCAACAGCCCGCCCGCAATCCGGCCGGGCAGCCCGAAAACTCCTCCCCTGCTGCTGCCCTTGCTGCTTCCCTGCTGCCGGGCAGGCCCTTTGGGTTTGAAACTGGTGCTTCTGGTGAGGGTGGGGCGGAAGGCTGCTGACTCTAGCTGCTGCCGTTCGTCCTTGGAGCACTCGAGTATCCGACACATGATGTCAAGCACCTGGTGAGAGAGAGACAGACGGACGGGGACTACGAATGGGTTTTGAAATCTAAAAAAACTGCAAGGCTTCTGACTCCAGCTGCTGCCGTTCCTCCTTGGGAGCATTCAAGTATCCGACACACGATGCCAGGCACCTGGTGCGACGCACATGGAAAACACATGAGACGTTGGGTTTGAAACTGGTGCTTCTGGTGAGGGTGGGGCGGGAGGCTGCTGTCAGCTGACTCTAGCTGATGCCTCTCGACCTTGGAGCACTCGAGCATCCGACACACAATGTCAATCACCTGTTGCGGGGCACATGGGACGAAAATGGGGTGCCCTTTAAGTTGACTCAAAAGGCTGCTAACCCTAGCTGCTGCCTCGTCCTTCCGACACATGATGTCAAGCGCCTGGTGCGAGTCACAGACGACGGGGAACACGAGTGACATACGACGTCGGAGTTGACTGCAAACAAACTTTTGAGTCGACTCAAAAGCAGACGACGGGGAATACGAGTGATATACAACGTCGGAGTTGACTGCAAACAAACTTTAAGCACTCACGGACACGGACACTGACACGACTAAAAGGATGACATGTGGTGCGACACACAACACACAAATGAGGTGAGACCTCGGAGTGATCTGGAAACTCAATTTAAGCACTGAACGATGCGCCACACGACATGGCCCAAACAGTTGCAACATGATGACAAAGAAGCCCATACCGATTCCGACGGCATTGGGAATATGCATGGGGTGCTTACACGCACCATGTCCATGTCCACAACCATTCCCATACCATACCGATCATGCCCATACTTATACCCACACTCATGAGCACGTGCTCACCTATCTGTTGTGGTTCCGTTGAAAGTGATTTTTGAGAATTCTTAAAGGACCAATCATGCCCATACTTAATACCTGTACTCAAAAGTTTGAGTTCAACTCAAAAGTCAGCACTAGCTCACCTCTCTGCTGTGGTTGCGCTGAAAGTAAGCCACCAGCAGCTTGACCACGATTCTCCTACTCCGTGCCAGTAGCAATGGCAGACACATGCAGCACGCACCAGCAAATGCAGCAACGCACGCACGCACCAATAACCGGAAGTTGAGTTGCAACAAAAGATGTCCCCATGGCGATAGCAACGGCAACACATGCGGCAACAGAATCCGAGTGTCTCTGCATGTGACTGTTCATGCATGTGACTGTTTAGGCCAAGTGACAGAAAGATGTGAGTTTGACTCAACACAGGAGCAGCATCAAATCCGCGTGTCTCTTGAAACAGCAGCAGCATCAACAACACCAGCAACAGCAACGTCCACCACGGCAGTAGCAGCAACACCACATAAGTCCTTGATTACGAAAATAGTTTTGAGGCGCCATAAAACGAGATTTCCAGCTCAGTTGTGTAAGGGGACATAATGGATGTACAATGAGCATAGCTCACCTGTCCACCATATAAGCAGAATCGCTATTGAGTCGCAGCATACACTGATCCAAAGCGCACTGCAGCCGAAGCAGCTCCTCTTCTAGAACCCCCCTCTCCCGCCTGCCCTCTGCCACCTCAGATAACGCCTGCTCCAGCTGAGCCTGTCGCTGCCAGCATACGGACTCTGTTTCCTGGCGGATGGGGGGGAACGGGAAACAGGAGAGGAGGGAAGCAGAGGGGTTCAAAAGAAGGGGAGAAAAACACAATGCATGGTCTCTGCCACCTCAGATAACGCCTGCTTCAGCTGATCCTGCTGCTGCCACCTGAGATAACACCTGCTCTCTGCCACCCAAGATAACATTACCTGAAGATTCTCTTGCAATAGACGGATCATTTCACCCAGCCAGCAAACCAGCCAGCCTGCCACTGCCACTGGATGGGCTCGGAGGAACATACCTGCAGGTTGTCCTGCAAGGTGACTTTTGAGTCGACTCAAATGCTACTGGATAGGCTCGGAGCAGCATACTTGCAGGTTGTCCTGCAAGCTGACTTTTGAGTCGACTCAAATGCTACTGGATAGGCTCGGAGCAGCATACCTGCAGGTTGTCCTGCAACACTCGGATCTCTTCAGCCGCCCTCGCGCTCCTCTCCTCTGCTGTCACCCTCTCCTCCACCATCCAAGCCTTTTCCACCGCCAGCCTCTCCTTCTCCTCGCCGCAATCCAGAGAGCAGTCCGAGCGCTGCTCTTCTGCGCCGGATCGCGGCGCCTCGAAGCTTCGGGCCTCATGGGCCGCCTGAGAACCGAGCGACGGGGAGGACGAGTGCCGGCTTTCCCGCGCTCCACCACTCTCTCCTAACGTCTCTACCCCTTTTACCGTTGGAGCTGTCTCGTCTTGTGTGGCCAGTAGGGCTTGAAAGGGCAGCCCGTGGCGCAAGCTCACTGCTGCTACTGCTGCCGCTGCTGCTGCTGGGGATGGGGATTGGGATGGGGTTGGGGATGGGGATGGGGATGGGGGCGGGGATGGTGATGGTGGTGATGGTGGTGATGGTGGTGATGGTTGTTGGAACGCTGATGCTGCCGCAATTTCTCTCGCTGCCGCGATTTCTCTTGCTGCAGCAGCCGCTGCTTTCAGTGATGTCTGTGCCAATGAGCACTCCGCCGCTGGAGCAAACTCTTGAGTTGTCTTGGAAAAGGCTGACGTTGCAGCACTGGGAGCGTCTGCAGCACGTGCATCAGTAACTGGCGCTGCTGCAGTAACTAAAGCTGCTGCACCTGCTTCGCCTATGGCTCCTGCTGCTCCTGCTCCTGCTGCTCCTGACGCGCATCCGCATGGACCAATAGGCTGGGCCACGGAAGAGCATGCCATTTCAGCATGGGACGCATCATAAAATGCCACATCAGCATGTGATCCATGATGGCATGCCACATCAGCACGCGATGAGGCGTCTCCATCGTGCATAGGTGGATCCCTCACTAGCACCTCAGCATGCACGCACATGCGGTGACCCATTACTATGGGCCGATGAGCCGCCTCCATCACCTGCTGTAACACATCTGGTAACAGGCCTGGTGCCACGCCGGGCGCCCCGCCTGGTAACGTCTCTCGTAACCCGCTTGGTGACGCATCTGGTAACACAATACGTGGCCCATCCCCAGCAGTCCTACTAACACCATCACCACCCTCTCCTCCATATCTTCTCATGCCTTGAATTCCAATCTGCTTCTCCTTTTTCCCACTCTCCTCTTCCTCTTCCTCTCCCACTCTCCTTAACTCTCCACCAATGTCTCCTCCCTCTAATAAGTCTCCCTCCTGCAAATCCAACTCCCCAGCCTGCCCTGAAGGCTCGGCTCGAGCCTGCAGCCGAACCAGCTGCATCCGAGCCTCCCAGACCTCCCTGCTCCTTTCCCTCAGCTGCTGCTCCAGCTGGGCTCTCACCCGCTCCGATTGGCCGAGCTGACTTGCCTTATCCGCCAGCTGTCGCTCCAAAACGACCCTCTCGCACTCTGATTGGCCGAGCGCCCTCGCCTTATCCGCCAGCTGGCACTCCAGCTGGCAGATCCGCTCCGCCTCTCGCTCCAGGCGCAGGGTCTCGTCAGCATCCTGAAGGAGGGCGGCAGGGGAGAGAGGTGGAGAGAGGTGGGATGCGATGCTAAGCAGTGAACAAGTGACAATGCCCACCTCTCTCACCCCCTCCAGTACGTGCATATTTCTGAGGCGCCTCAAAAATAGTCCCTCCCACCTCCCTCACCCTATCCAGCAGGTGCTGCTGCAGCCGACCCAAATTCCTTGCCAACAGCTCTCTCTCCCTCTCCACCTCCCCCAGCCGCCCCTCCACCTCTGCAATCCCACCAGCAGCCACCTCAGCAGCGCGCACCCCCCCCCTCTCAACCATTCCCCCTTCCCAATACCCCCACTCACCCCCCTCCTCATCCTCTCCTACCACACACACACCCACACACCCCCCTCCTCATCCTCTCCTACCACACACCCACCCACTCACCCCCCTCCTCATCCTCTCCTACCACACACCCACCCACTCACCCCCCTCCTCATCCTCTCCTACCACACACCCACCCACTCACCCCCCTCCTCATCCTCTCCTACCACACACCCACCCACTCACCCCCCTCCTCATCCTCTCCTACCACACACCCACCCACTCACCCCCCTCCTCATCCTCTCCTACCACACACCCACCCACTCACCCCCCTCCTCATCCTCTCCTACCACACACCCACCCACTCACCCCCCTCCTCATCCTCTCCTACCACACACCCACCCACTCACCCCCCTCCTCACCCTCTCCTACCACACACCCACCCACTCACCCCCCTCCTCACCCTCTCCTACCACACACCCACCCACTCACCCCCCTCCTCACCCTCTCCTACCACACACCCACCCACTCACCCCCCTCCTCACCCTCTCCTACCACACACACACCCACTCACCCTATCCAGCAGGTGTTGCTGCAACCGAGCCAAATTCCTCCCCACCCGCTCCTTCTCCTTCTCCACCTCCCCCAGCCGTCCCTCCGCCTCCGCCAATCGCCCAGCAGCCATCTCAGCAGCGCGCACCCTCCTCCTCTCCGCCATTCCCGCCTGCGCCGCCAGGGCCTCTGCTGCCTTCGCCTCTAGTTCTTCCCGTTGCAACTGCAGGGACGCTTCAAAAGAGGCTTCTCTCACAGCTGCAGCGTTTAATTGCTCCTGCAGCTCTGTGGCCTTCCCCTCTAACTCTTCTCGCTGCAGCATCAGGGACGCTTCTAAAGCCGCCTCTCTGGTAGCTGCTGCGTTTAACTTCGCCTGTAGATCTGCTGCCTTCGCCGCCAGCTCTTGCCGTTGCAGCTGCAGGAACGCTTCGAAAGCAGCGTCCCTGGACGCTCCTACGTTTGATTTCTCCTGCAGCTCTGGTGCCGTCGCCTCCAGCTCGTGCCGTTGCAGCAGCTGCAGGAGCGGTTTTAAAGCCGCCTCTCCAGGGACTGCCGCTTCTAGCTGTTGCTCTACTTCCGCTGCTTTAGCTGCTCGTGTTTCAGATGCTGCTGCCCGCTCTTCACCCTCTGCTGCCCGCGTATCACCTTCTGCTGCCCGCGTATCACCTTCTGCTGCCCGCGTATCACCCTCTGCTGCCCACGTTTCACCCCCTGCTGCCCTATATTCGACCTCAGCTCGGGCAGACGCTGCCCCCTCAGGTGGACACGTGGCCTCAGGAGACTGGTCAAGCTCCAGCAGGTGGACGTTGGAAGGTTGGGCGCTTGAGGCTCCAGTCCCCTCCACAGATCTTGGAGACGTCGTTTGAGCCTTCTCGTGAAGGGCATGCCATTGGTCCAGCTGACTCATGAGCTCCAGCTGACGTGGCATAGGTAATTGTCGGGACGGGATAGAGAGGACAGAGGCGGATAAGATGATGAGATGAGCTGAGGTGTTGCCGGAGACAGATTAAGATGTTGGGGGAGGGAATGCTCGAGTGTAACAGAGCAGGATGACAAAGATTATAGTTTTGAGGCGCCTCAAAGCAGAGCAGGATGACAAAGAACAGGGCAGCAGCAAGCTCAAGCCTAAAAGCGACCGCAGAAAACGGTTGGTTGCATTTTCTCTTCTTCTTTCTTTCCATTCTTGGAGAGGCGAAAACCTTTCTCAGCGCTTTTTGCTGTCAACCATCAGCACGAGGATGCCATTTCAGCGTTCTCTTCTCGCAGATCCATCCATTTTTCCTTCCATCTGACCTGGAACGTGCAGTCTCTGTCTACATCTGCGACCAATACTGCCTGCAGCTCCCTCTGCAGTCTCTCGGCTCTCGCTTCCAGAAGCTGCTGATGACGATCCCGCTGCAACTGTTGAAGCTGCTGGCGCAGCTGCTGCTGCTGCTGCTCTTCCAGTTGCTGCTGGTATCGGTTATAGTGCTGCTGCTGCTGCTGCTGCTCCCCTCGCCAGATCGACTTGCCAGATGGAGAGCGAGGGTCACGCGGACTGGTCAGTTTCTCCAAGCGAGCGGACGAGCCGCTCTGGAAGGCTATGGCGTCCATGGGAGTTCAAGATGATAAGAACTCAGCTCATGTTTCACAGGCGACTTTTGAGTCGAGTCAAAAGCTGCTGAGAGGCTATGGCGTCCATGGGAGTTCAAGATGAAAAGAATTCGTCATGTTTCGCAGACGATAGCAGCCTCAACTACCCGGAAGCTATGCTACCGATTTCATTCGTTGCGTGAAGAATAGAGAGCTAAAGTGATACCTCGCGAGAGTTACAAGCACTAGTTCTGGAAACATCATTTATGGAGTCGGAACGATCCTAAATGAGCGGGGTATGCGGAGAAGCTGTGAGCCAACTGGGCACAGCGAGATGCCATACGAAGGAATATGCTCTACTTACCTGGCGCTGTGCTTGCTTTCTGTGGGAAGAATCAAGAATCGAGGAGACGCTAGAGCCTGCCTCACACGCAACAAACAGCTAACGAAATCAATGTTGAAGACTCGTGTCATTATCGGGGACCCAGCCCAGGTCGGAGGTTTTCGCTAAAGTCGTTGTCGCACATCAGAGGCGAGATTACCCTTCGCCTTATTTTCGCTAAAATGTGTAACGACGGAACTGTCGAGGTTGGTGGCAGCGGTGCATGTGCCAATATCCGGGCCAGGCGGAAAGCTGAACGTGTTTGGTCAGTCATCACCTCATGGCATGGCACGGCATGGCATGGCATGGCGTCGTTTGAGTCACTTCTGTGGGCTTGTAGGGCCTGATTGGTCGAAGGCCTGATGACGGAGATATGTGCCAAGTGCGACCTGAACCATGTCTGAACACTTCATAAGACCCATTCACAGAGGCTCGACGAGGTGGTTACCACTCGCGCAAGTGTGTTACAGATATTGGACGTCATTTCGATATCTGTCACATTTCTGACTTTCATAAGAGAAACGCAGGAACACAGAAATAGCTCCTAGGGTTCTGCGTTTAGCACACCACTGCATATTGGCACAGAATAATGCTACTCAAGCCGAACTTTTAGTGTTCCGTGCGGTCCATTTTGAGCTCGAAGCACCAAGAAATGCGGCTCAAGAATCTGCCTTGTTAGCAGGGTAACCACATGGAACGTGAAGCTTGAATTCCCCCTAACTTGAACACATGCAACCATCTTGCAAGAACCTAGGATCTGCTCCAGTAATTCCGGAGGGAGGTACTGTCATAGTAATTCCGCCATTGGTTCTGAACCCAACTACGACTAGCCTCCATTCCCGAATGGGAAGGGGGGGATAGGAGAGCGTTGGTATCTATATTCTTATTTCGATCTCCTTATTTGTGCTGCTGCCGACAGTCCTTGGTAATGGAGGGGCCACAATGCCGAGAGTCGTCGCTCTGGCGCCTTGCGATCTCGTCAACGCTGCTTGCACTCCTCGCAACTGTCGCGAGAGGTGCGTCGCTCCGTCAAGCGACCCCGTTTTCTCGCTCGGGTGTGGTTACCAGATGCGGTCCCATTCGCAATGCTTCGGTTGCTTTCGCTCGCGATCATCTTGTGAGAGCTCTTCAAACGGCTTTCGACTCGCCATACTCGCCCTACTCGCCCTACTCGCCCTGGGGCCGCGCGGTGTACTTCCAGCGACACCTCCCTCATCCTGTTTCGCCGCTCTATCTACCGCCCCCTCACCTCCCCTCCCCCTTCCCCCCCCCCCCCCGCCACCCCCCACCCCCACCCCCACCCCCGCCCCACCGGACCCCCCTCCATCCAGCTGCCAACGTGACCATCACGCATCTCCGTTTGGACACGACTCACGACTCGCCCTACTCGCCGTGGGAGCCGTCGGTGTATTTCCAGTGCGAGGGCGAGATGAAACACTTCCTGCAGGGGGTGGTGCAGGCCAATGTCACCTACAACTTCACCGGCCAGGAGGCGTTTCAGGTGGGTCTCTGATGGGTTTCAGCTGGGTTTCAGCAGACTATCACTACCCCTCCCCTCCCTGTGCTTCCAGTGCGAGGGCGAGATGAAGCACGTCCTGCAGGGGGTGGTTCAGGCCAATGTCACCTACAAATTCACCGGCCAGGAGACTTTTCAGGTGGGTATCAGGTGGGTTTCAGATGGGGTGTAATCCTGGGCTATGTCACCTACAACTCTGGCCAAGAGGCAAATCACTTTCCTGGGCGCTGCTGGTCCGTGCTGGTGCAATCCACCTTGGACCCGCTCGAAGGTGCAATCAGCCTGCCTTTTTGAGGCGGCTCTTTTTTTTCCTTTTTTTTCTTTTTTCCTGAGGCGCCTCAAAAATTGTCTGGTGCAACCGACCTGGGACCCGCTCGAAGGTGCAATCAGCCTTCCAGGTTTGTTGCAATCCTGGCCAGTGTCTACAGCTTCAGCGCAGGAGTTTTGCCAGGTGAGTAGTGATTACTGTGGAGTAGACAACGCCTCAGGTCAGGTGTCCTTTCAGGTGACTTCCGGCTATGTGCGGATGACCTAACATTGCCTCTTCCCCCCCCCCCCACCCCTAACTCATGCACCTCACTCATGCACACAGCCGCTGGCCGCTGGCTCGCCCCACCGCTGGTCGACCTCGCCTCACCCCTAACTTCCCACACAGTCCCTTGCGCGGATGACTTCAGCTCTCTCCCTCTCCCTCCCTCCTTCTCCCCCCTTGCTCATTCCCAACACAGCCCCTGGTGGAGCTCGCCTCGTCACAGTGCAAGACATGTGGCCTATACGAGGCGGACACGTGGAAGGCAGACGACACGTTTGACAAGTTCCAGCTGTGCGCCGATGACTTCAGGAGTGGCAAGGAGGGGCGGGTGGCTCGATGGGTGGCTGGAGAGTTCAAGGTGGCGCTCTTGTGCCCGGAGTGCCTCGACAGACACGACCACACGCCTGTAGAAGGTGCGTAGGGGGTCATTCACCTTTGTTTCAGCTGGTGGGGATGACTTCAGGAGCAACAAGGAGGGGCGGGTGAACCTGTGGGTGGCGCTCGTGTGCCCGGAGTGCCTGGAGAGACATGACCACACGCCTGTCGAAGGTACGCATTGGGTGTTTGCCTTGGATATGGGAGGAATGTACGTGCCTTCCAGGGCAACAAGGAGGGGCGGGTGGCTCGATGGGCGGCTGGGGAGTTCAAAGTGGCGCTCGTGTGCCCGGAGTGCCTCGACCGACACGACCACACGCCCGTGGAAGGTTAAGACTTGATCACTGGTTTACGCCTCTCACACGCCACGGCGGGGAAGAGCGGGTGACCTGGAGAGTGGATGGGGCGTTCAAGGTCGCGTTGTTGTGCCGCGAGTGCCTCGATAAGTAGTTCAGTTCTGAGATGTCTCAAAACTGATGTGCCGCGAGACTGCCTGGGTAGACACGACCACTCTTCTGTGGAAGGTAAGGGTGGGGTGCCAGTGCTCCCTGTGGGCGGTGGGAATTAACTCAGGAGCAGCAGGGAGGGGCGGGTGGGCCGGTGGGTGGATTGGGAGTTCAAGGTCGCGTTGATGTGCCTCGAGTGCGTCGATAGACACGGCCACTCCCTATGTGCGGGGGAAAGGTGGGGTGGGGTGCCAGTGTTCCCTATGGGCGGGTGACCCCATGGGTGCATGGGGAGTTTGGTGTGCCTTCGGGTCGACTCAAGAGCTGACTCGGTGTGCTGCTGGCATCTTTTCCACCGAGTCAACGGCACCGAGCGTGTGTTAGAAGTTTAGTTTTGAGACGTCTCAATACATAAAGCCATGCATCTGGCCTTTCAACCACACCGCCAAGGAGCAGCGCCTGCCCCTCTGCCTCCCTTCTCACCTATACAGCCTGCTCCGCACTCCCCCGCCCTTGTCCCCCTCTCTCTTCCCCTCTCCCCTCTCCGCTTCTCCCCTTTCTTTCCCCATCTCTCCTACAGGGCGACTCCTTCTACCCGCTGCTTTCCTTCCTCATCTTCCTCGCAGCAGCAGCCACCATCATCTGTTTTGGCATCATCCTCTTTCCCTTAATACCCACCCCCCCTCCCCCCACCCCCCCCCCTGCCTCGCTTTTCCCCTTCCCTTCCCCAGCTCTCCTACAGGGCGACTCCTTCTACCCGCTGCTGCCTTTCCTCATCTTCCTCGCAGCAGCAGCCACCATCACCTGCGCAGCTGCCATCCTCTCCTGCTGCATAGAGCGCAGCATCTGGCCCTTCAACCACACCAAGGGGCAGCAGCACACTGCACTGGAAAAGGAACAACTGGCCGAAGCCACTGCTTTCATTGGGAGTAGCGATGAGGAGGAGGAGGAGGGTTGGGAGGATGGGGATGGGAGAAGGGACGGAGAGGGGAGGGAGAGGGGGAGGGGCGCGGAAGGGATAGAGATGGGGGATGTGGGGAGGAGAGAGGGGGGGGGAGAGGGGAGCGGGCTGGTGAACGGTGGTGGTGGGGATGTGGAATCGGGGGAGGGGGGGTGGGTGGGAGTGGGAGGAAGGCGCAAGGGGACTGTATGCATGGGAGGCCTTATTCCGTTCCGCTGGAAGAGAGGGTGGATGTTTGAGACGCTTACAAAGCAAGGTCCCGTTATTGAGAGATCCACTTGTGGTAGATGATGTGAACGTACTGCCTTAAGTTATAGATTCTATGTAGCAAACATTGCCACATGTCATAGTAACATTTCTATACACATTGTGACATGGATACACGATGAGGTATTACAATGTGGAGAATCGAAACATCGTGTTGATTTGTCGGTTCCCATGAATGTGGGTCCAGGTGTCGTCATAAACTGCGGGCAGCTCGCGGGCAGAAATGGACCCCATTGCCCACGCCAACAGAGACCACGAGAATGGCCAGGCTGATGAGCAGCCACGACGACCACGTGAGGCTAGAGAGTGTGTGCCTAGTGTGTGCAATCAGCTGCGGGCAGCCCGCAGGCAGAAATAGACTCCAAGGCCCACGCCAACGGAGACGAAGAGGATGGCCAGGCTGATGAGCAGCCACGACCACCACGCGAGGGCGGTGGAGCACGAGTAGCTGCAGCTGGCAGACAAGTAGGCTGAGAGGGGTGGTGGGAGGGGGAGAGGGAAGAGGGAAAGAGGAGAGGTGATGGGGAATGTGAGATGATATGTGATGTAGAAAGGAGGAGCCACGACCACCAAACGAGGGCGGTAGAGCACGAGTGGCTGCAGCTGGCGTGCACATAGGCTGAGAAGGGCGGGAAGGGGAGAGGGGAGAGCAGGGAAGAGGGGGGAGGAAAGGGAAGATGAGAGGGAAATGTGACATCATGACATCATGACAACATGACATGTGACGTAGGCAAGGAGCAGCCACGACCACCAGGCAAGGGCGGTAGAGCACGAGTAGACTCAATGGCGTTCACACACTGTGAGAGGGGTGGGAGGGGGAGAGTGGGGAAGAGGGGGAGAGGGGAGGGGAGAGAGAAAACGGGGAATGTGACATGATATGTGACGTGGCAAGAAGCAGCCAGGACCACCAAGCGAGGGCGGTAGAGAGGAGTTGGCGTATGCATAGGCTGAGTGGGGAGCGGGGGGTGGGGAGTAGGGAGTGGGGAGTGGGTAGAGGGGAGTGGGGAGGGGGGAGTGGGGAGAGGGGAGTGGGGGGGGGGAGTGGGGAGAGGGGAGTGGGGAGGGGGGAGTGGGGAGAGGGGAGTGGGGAGAGAAGATGGGGAATGCGTGGTTTTAAGCAATTTCAGAAAGAGCCGCCAGTCACATAGCGTCTGAGATTTTAGGTGACTCTACAGCACCTCTACCTCGTCGCACTCCACCAGATTCAGCTCGTGATAATCAACCCGTCATCTCGCTCTAACAAAATACACCTCGGTGTGGCTCCCCCCACTCGATCATCACCTGCCCCTCGCTATACCATCCCCGCTCTATGCTCACCGTTGCCGTTCCAAACGGGTTGGAAATAGGTGGCACACCCGTAAGGCGTCGTCCACTGGCAGTTCTGCAGCGGGGGAGGGAGAGAGGGGGGAGGGAGGGAAAGGGGAGAGGGGACCTTAAGGCGTTGTCCACTGGAAATTCTGCTCTGGCTGAGGGAGAGAGAGAGTGGGGGGAGGGAGGGAGGGGAAAGGGGGGGGGGGGGGGGGGAGGAGAAGAGGGGGAACCGTACGGCGTTGTCCAATGGCTATTCTGCAGCGGGTGAGGTGAAGAAAGGGGGGTGGCTGTGGAGGGGAAGTCCCCAAGGTGTTGACTGGCGCTCTTACACTGCAGCGAGTCATGCAGTCGGCGGTGTTGACGGGACTCGTGCGTGGAACCATGCCCGCAGGCGATTTTTGAGTCGACCCAAAAACCACCTTCGGCAGTGTTGACGAGACTCGTGCGCCTTGAACCATGCACGCCCGTGTTGACGGGACATGAAGCCGTTTTTCGTTTGCCAAGCAACGCTGACCCCGTGAGTGGGAGCCACACGCGCCAACAGTTCTGCATTGAAACTCGAGCCACACACAGTAGGTGTAGACAAGACTCGTGCCGGGACCGCGTGCTTAGAGTCTAGTTTTGAGCCGACTGTGATTATTTCGGCTCAAAACTAGACGCTTATGTTGCATTGTGCGACAGTCACACTCGGTGTAGTCAACCTCCGAGTCGTGCCGGGAACCATGCACAGCTAAGATAGTTCTTTTGAATTCTCAAGAACCGTGCACGCGGGCGTGCAGTTGAGGTCAGGGGGGCTTGTAAACAACTCTTACCTTGGACGGTGTACATGGTACCGGGGGGATTTGACTAGACTCGCGAGGCGCAGTCAGTTTTCACGATACTCGTGGCGGGAACCATGCACGCGACCGTGCATTTGAGGTCAGGGAGGCTTGCGATCAATGCAGCGCGATAGTAGCCCCGATCTGAGTAACTCTTTCCTTGGAGTCGCACTCTTACATTGCACCTCTCGCTAACACTACACCTCTCGCTAACAATGCACCGAGTCACTCTTACCTTGCTCCGAGTCACAGTCGGTGTTCATAAGACTCGTGCCCAGAACCATACACGCGCTCGTGCATTTGAGGACGGGGGGGGCTTGCAATAATGCAGCGTCACCGTCTCGCTTACCTTGTACATTGCAGCCACTCTTACCTTGCTCTGAGCCACTCTTACCTTGCTCTGAGCCACTCTTACATTGCATTGCGAGACACAGTCGGTGTTCATTAGGCTCGTGCCTGGAACCATACACACGCTCGTGCATTGCGCCGCGGCATAGCCGATTAACAGGCTCGACGCGAGAACCAGGATCGCAAGTCTTGAAGCCGACGGCAGTTTCATGGCGGACTAGGGGGAGCCGCGCGAAGAAGGGCGGAGCTTTTTCTCGGAGGCCTCCTTTAACGAGTACAACGAGCGATTTGGCGTTTGAGCCCCGGTCCGTGGCGCCGTGACGCACGCAGGAGGAACGGAACACGCCTTGTTTCGCTAACTCGTCTTGGTTCAAACTTCTCTCCTACTGAAGCAAATGCTGAAGCTGTGAGGGTGCTCCTGAAAGCCGAGTGTTCACCTTGTTTCAAGAACACCGCGAGTGAAAGTTCACCTCAGCTAATCACGGCTTGGTTCAAGGGTGCGGAGCGGAGCACAACAGTAACGGCGTGGGGAGACTTACGCGATTGAACGGCTTCTGCGTTTCTCTCGATCGAGCATAAACTCCTGTTCGGCGCAATCCCAGTCTCTGCCGAACGTTGCAGTCAGGCATAGACCAGAAGGCAAGGACGTGGGTGCGTACAGGTTGGGTGGGGGGAGAGATGGTGGAGGGCGCAAGTGGAAAGTGCAGCACGAAATGGAAATCTCGCACGAAATTGAGCTTTCAATGTCGCGGCTCGCTTCTTGGTGGGGTGGTGCCAGTTTTCGGGGGAAAACGTGATGCCTCGCCCGACGGATCATGCGATGTTCGAACAACACGGACAAGCGGCCCAGAACCAGAACACTCAAAAGGGTGATTGGATATAAGTCTCTAAATGATGCAACCAAGGGGATGAAATAAGAGAAAGCATGGGCTTCAACAATAATGGATGCAACTGGATATGAAATGCGTGATGAGGCAAGGCCACTCTATGGCTGAGAGATCGTTTTAGAATCATACGCATTGATTGGTAACACACGAATGGAGGCATCTGTAAATATAGGGATAATAAATCTCACACTAAGCATCATAATATGCATTGTGCAGTTGCATCTACGCTATCATCGTCCCTTTGATAGTCTCGCAGCCCGATCAGCCTTGCGCTCCATCTTCTCTCGCTTCTTCCTATCCCTTGGATCCTCTTCCCCCTGTAAAGCACCAGGATGATGAAACTAAACACTAAGTTCTTTTATTGTAAGGCACTTGTTCCAATGTGGTGTAGCATGAAATGAATCAACTAGGCCAGCAAACATGAGAGATTAAGCAGGAAAAATGAAGACAGCTGCAGCTGGTAGGTTCTACCACAAGTTGATGCCTTACAGGTTCCACTTTTTGGAAGAAGTAGGGGTAGAGGACAAGCTCCCACAGCTTCCACAGAGCGAAGGCTGGGATCTGGCAGGGACGAGGGGGAAGAAGATGGCGGGATAAGGAAAGATAAGGTGCCGAAGGTGATTCTTGAATCGACTCAAAAACCACCAGAGGACAAGCTCCCATAGCTTCCACAGAGCGAAAGCTGGGATTCCACAGGGAAGAGGGGGGAGAAGAGAAGAGATGGAAAGGGGAGATGCCAAGGGGAAGGGTGAAATTGCCCGAAGGTGGTAAAGAGGAGGCAGAAGTAGAGATCGGAAAGCAGCACGTGGAAAACAGAGATTCACTAATACGTACATGCATGGGCGAAAGAGGGATGCGGGGGGTGGGGGGGGGGGGGGGGTCCATAGCAGGCCATTGGTGACAAAGCAGGCAGTACCAAGAGGTTGATGAGCTAGACGATGTGTTCTCGGACGACTCATAGAGAGAAGAGGATGTGTTTTTAGGATGCAACGGAGAGCATATCAAGGTGATAAAGACAAGACCTACAATGAGGTAGATGAGCCAGAACCAGTCTGAGAGAATGGAGGAGATCTGGACGAATGCAGTGATGTAGATGATGTCGTGCAGGTAGCTGTGGGGGGGAGAAACAGAGGAGTAATGGAAGGTTCAACGCGGTGATGTAGATGATGTCGTGCAGGTAGCTGCGGGGGGGGGTTGGGATGGGAACAGCGGAGTAATGGAAGGTACAAAGCGGTGATGCAGATGACGTCGTGCAGGTAGCTGCAAGGAGGGCGGGAGGGACGGGATTGGAGGATAAGCGGATGGAGCGGCAAGGTTTGCAGAGGGAACAAGTCAGACGATGGGGGAACACGACATGATGGCAGGAAGCGATCGAGCAAAAACGTGGGGGAGCACAATAGAGGTGATGCTGTCACGCAGGTGGTTGGGCGAGAGGGAGAGAGAGTTAGATGAGGAATGCAAGGTCAGGGAAATTCAAGGTGGGGAATGCAAGGTGGGTGAAGTAGCAGGAGGGAGAAACATGACAGTATTTGAACTGAGCATAAGGGCACAGACGGTAGTGCAGGCAAGAGTCTCACCCGCTGCAGGCACCGGTGTCACCTGCACCAGTGCCACCTGCACCAGTCTCACTCACCCACAAAGGCCTCCCATGTTAAGGGCACTTCCCCCGTCGATCAGCTGTCCCGTCTCGTCATGAGTGGCTTGGGCCAGCGAGGCGATCTGAAATGCCACCATACTAATACCAGTCCCACCTGCACCAGTCTCACCTACAGAGCAATCCGACTCACCCGCACAGCCCGCCCATGTTGAGGTCACTACCGCCGTCGATCAGCTGCCCTGTCTCGTCCGAGGTGGGTTCAGCCCACGAGGCAATCTAACCACCAACCCACCCGCACACACACTCTCACCCACCCGCACAGCCCGCCCATGTTGAGGTCACTACCACCGTCGATCAGCTGCCCTGTCTCGTCCGAGGTGGGTTCAGCCCACGAGGCAATCTAACCACCAACCCACCCGCACACACACTCTCACCCACCCGCACAGACCGCCCATGTTGAGGTCGCTACCGCCGTCGATCAGCTGGCCTGTCTCGTCATAAGTGGCTTCGGCAAGAGAAGCGATCTGGTCGAAGCACGTCTTGTAAGCGAATGTGGTTATAACGAGCCCGATCCAGTGGCGCCAGGTGAAGGAGGCGAAGAAGAGCGAGAGACGCACGAGGATGTAAATAGCCTGAACCAATGGGGTGCAAAGGAACGAATAAATAGAAACAATGGGGGAGCGTCGCGCGTTGAAGGGTGTGGAAAAATAGGGGAGGGGTCCATCTGCTTAGAAAAAAGGGATATGGAGCTTGAAAACGGAATTCAGAGCGCAGCAAGGAAAACATCAACATATTTATGTACGGCATTCGACGCACACGCGACGTGTAATCTGGCGAACACACACGATTTGACAGATTCGACGCACATTGACGGTCACGATGAGCTTCTGCAGCCGGTTCAGGTGCTTCTCGTTCTCCTCCTTCCGCTTCTTCGCTCCCTTATTCGCCATCCTGCTCCCTTGGCGGGCTTCGATCAACGCGAAACCCTAACGACGCGGAACCTCTACTTATTGCTTCTAAAAAACTCCAGACCTGGACGCCGAGGAATTTGCTAACCAAAAAGAATCACAGGCTGCTGTGCTGTGACAAGGAATGCCTAGTTTCTGCCTCAACCAAGCAGACGATGCCTAGTTTTGACAATGGCGGGAAATCCGCAGGGGAGGGGAGGCCTAGAGATTGGTTCGCTGACATCTGACAAAATCGAGGACAACTTTGTCAGCGAGGATTACAGCCCACATATCATGCAAAAAAATATGTTACGATAAAATGTTGGACTTAAAACGAGTTTCTTCTCAGCGGTGATTTTCCCGTGTTTCACCTGACATCACTCCACGCTGTTGGCATCCCCGCACACGTCACGCCGCCTCAGCCGCACAGGACACTGACGCTGTTCGGCTTTCAATCAATAGCCCACCCCCTGTACAATCACATTCATGCAACCTTCCCCCCAGACGAAGAGGGGAGGCTCGATTTTCTGAGGTGCTTTACGGTGTAGGGCGACTTTTAAAAATTCCAAAACGCTTTAATACGGTTTCAAAGCCCAAACCAGCCCTCTTGCGAGTATTTGGTGGGGCATGCAGAGTCTATTGCAATATGGCGGAAGAGAAAGCACAGTATGACTTGTCATCGTGCCCAGTAGCATCACCCGAGGAGCTGTTCGCGGTTCCGATAAGCATAATACAGCCAGTCACTCCCAATATCCGCAGCACCAGGACACTCCAGCACATCCCGGCCAGCCGTAATTGGCTCCCGCTGATTACATCGCTTGCTTCCCTCGCGCCGTGGACTTTCGCCCTCGCGGTTTCTTGGCACTGAAGTAATCTCTCCGCTCGCTTCTATCCGGCTGCTTATCTTCCAAGAGATTTGAATCGAGCTCGAACCTTCCAGCTATTTCCGCAGCTGGTTACGCAGGTCCATAGTTTCTTCTTTTCGGGCTCGGTTCCTTCCGCATGGCCCGCGGCTCGTCCGCCGCCATTCGCGCTGCCCAGCGGCGGCTATTACCATCCGCCGTCGCTTTCTCGCCAACGTTATTATCCTCGCCTGCTCAGCGGGGGAGTGAAGGAAGGGGTGTCCTGGCACCGTTACAATCGCTTCTCGTCCCCGTTGCCGCAACGTCTGCTCGTCCCCCCGTTATTGGCAAGTTCCGTCAGTCCCCCGTTACGAGGCCCACGGCTCCTTGCCCTCCAGTTACTGCCACGTCACTCAGCTCGTTCGCCGCGTCTGGCTACGTGGGTTACGTCGCTGCCACGTGGAAATACAGGAGGCGCTACTCGGTCGACGCGGATCCACGTGGCGGCGAGCGGTTGGTGCGCCTAAACCACCTAACAGGGGAAGACGAAGGTGAGGCTGGTTGCGGGCCCTTTATTAAATCTTCGTTCTTCTATCCCTGGTTTTCACCAGAGAACCTGAAATATCAGGCCCTTTTCGTCTATCGCTCTTGTTATCTCTCTGTCCTCCACGCTTTACTAAGATTTGAGGTTCAGTAACTCTCATTTCACCGACCCATCCAGGCTACCTGCAAACCCACCGTCTTCAACAGGCGTCGGTGTTTTGAGACGGCTCAAGATTTTAGTTTTGTTTTTGTTTTTGTCTCAATCCTTGAAGAAATCCACCTCAAGAACCCCTCCGGTACCCACATCCAACCTACTCTCTTCACGAGGAATCGCCGCTGTTTGGAATCTCAACCGCGCTGCAGCCGTCAACGCCATCAGCAAACAGCTGCTGGCTCATCTGATGCCTCCCTCTGACTCCCTGACCCCTTTCATTCCCACTCCCTTCTTTTCTACCTTCCTTGCTACTCTCCTTGCTGCCCCCCCTCAAGGCATCGCTGTGTTGACTCTCAACCGCCCTGCAGCCCGCAACGCCATCAGCAGGCAACTGCTGGCGGATCTAATGCACGCGATGGGGGAAGTGCGGAGAGCAGTGGGGGTGGGGAACCACGGGCAAGTGGGGGGAGTGGGGGGAGGAGGGGGAGCGGGGGAGTGGCAGGTGCGGACAGGGAGTGAGGAGGCGAAGAGTGGGGGGGATGATGGTGGCAATGTGCGGGCTGTGATTATAAGGAGCGCAGTGGAAGGAGTATTCTGTGCCGGGGCAGACCTGAAGGTGAGTCGTGCGACTGTATGGAAGGTGGCATGAACTACAGCAAGGTGCTGTGTGGTTATGTGTGGTGTGGTGTGACTATATCTTGCCTGAGCTGTTTAATGTAAAGGAACATCATGGTGGTGGATGGTGTATCTTAAAGAAGCAAAAAAACAAACCCTAAGGGCTTGGTTTTGGGGGGTAGCGAAAATTTTGAGGTGTGGTGAGGGGTGTTTGGGGGCCGCTGTTACTGTTTCGCTTCTTGTGATCGTCACTTTAAGGCTGTGTCCGTAGAAATGACGTGTCATTTCTGCAGGGTCTCGCGATTCGATTTGACACTCGACAACATCGTTTGCAGAGTGTCAATTTCACCTGGACCCGACAACCAATAAAATTTGTCGATCACAGGCTGACGAAGTGTAGAGCTCTCGCCAGCCAACCAAGTTCATCGCTGCAAACTACTTGACCAACTGCTCTCGCCCAATCAACGAAAGGCCAGCATGCTGCCTCGACATGCGTTGGTAGATTTTCCCCACCAACAGTGTAGATGTGGCTCGGCTTCTGAAGGGTCGTCGTTTCAAATCGGCGCTGGCCAATGAGCCGTCTTCGTTAAACTTCGTCCAAGCGACTCGATTTGACACAGAAGCTTGAGTGTTCAACCCCCAAACGTGGGTGCGCTTCGGTTTGACACAGCCAAGCATGACATGCCATCTCTACGGGCGCTACCTAAGAAAACGTCAACGCGTGTGAAAATGTAGAGTGGTGTGATGGAATATAGGGGGTCTGAGCTCTGTCTGCAGTGTGTTGTGCGGTAAAGCCGCAAGAGAGGGCTCTGGGTGATGTCTCGAGAACAAAATTCCAAGAGGGGTGTTCCGAGAATTGAACTCGGGACCTCTCGCACCCTAAGCGAGAATCATGCCACTAGACCAAACACCCATGTGACACTTGTAAAATGTTTCACAACTGTACTTGTTTTTACGACATGGGGTTTATTATCCTATTGCTTTAACCCCCCGCCCTGATCCCCTCCAATCACAGGAGCGCAAGGGAATGACCATGGAGGAGGCTGAGGAGTTTGTCAGGAGCCTCAGGAGAGCATTCACTACCCTCGAGGTGAGAATTCATGCTGCATGTGATGAACTGTAATGCCACTGCCACATGAGCTTGACTTGATACAAAATCTGAAAAAAAATACTCTGCTGTATGAAACTTAATTCTTCCAACAGCATTGTCTATGCTCTCATACCCTTTGCATAATCACTATTACCTATTTTTTTCTTTCCAATCCTTTCCCCCCATAACCTACCTGTACCAACAATGGCAGCAGTGGAGGGAGCAGCACTGGGGCGAGGGCTGCTTCTGAGTAGACCCAAAAGCCCAATTTTGCCTGTTATCCTTCCGTCCTATACCTCCCCCCTAGAACCTACCTGTACCAACAGTTGCAGCAGTAGAAGGCGCAGCACTGGGGGGAGGGCTGGAAATGCTTCTAGCATGTGACATTAGAGTGGCAGGTACATAATTCTTTAGGCGCCTAAAATACATACTAGAAATGCTTCTGACATGTGACATTAGAGTGGCAGGTGAGTACGTCCACCATTAATATTCAGTCACATTGACCTTTAGCGAGGCAGGTAGCTGCTTTACAGTGATACCTGCTGTTACATTACATAAATCAGCATCGCAACACCATGCGCACTGTAGCATCATATGCCATGTGTACCTGCGAACCCTCTCTTCTCCCATCCATCCTCCTCCCCTCCCCAGGCTTCAATGCCCGCTTTGGCCTGCCAGAGACATCGCTCGCCATCATCCCAGGGTGCGTGCTGCCGAGGAACGATTCTGCCCCTTCTGGAACGTATTTAGTTTCGGTGGTACGGGCTGTTTCTCAATTCATCAGGGCTTTGTGGTTCGGCCTGCCGGTGACATCGCTTACCAGGAAATGAGAATGCGATCGGTTTGAGATCGGGAGGCATTCGTTGCCATCCGTAATTCCCAGCTGGTGTTTTCCCTCGCCATTCTCGCCGGCTATAGCAGCTGCTTAGTCGTATGTCTGTTTGCTGGGTGTGTGTGTTTTGCGGGGTGTGTGTGTTTTTCTGGGTATGCGTGTTTTGTGGTGTCCTCTGCTGGGTCTCTTGCCTTCGCCTGTGCTTCCAGTGCTCGTAGCAGTCCCCCCGTTCCCCCCCCATTTGCGGCAATCACCTTCGTTTTGAGTCGACTCAAAAGTCCTCTGCTGGGCCTCTTGCCTTCGCCTGTGCTTCCAGTGCTCCTAGCTGTCCCCCGTCCCCCCCCCATTTGTATCCACCTTCATTTCTCTGGTCAATTGCTGCAGGGCGGGCGGAGCTCCTTCCTTGCCGCGTCTGATTGCCCCAAGTTTTCCCTCTCACACACTCTCTATGCAGGGCGGGTGGCACGCAGCGCCTGCCCCGATTGATTGGCGCCGCTCGAGCCAAGGAGCTCATTTTCACGGCCCGGGTTGTGCAGGCCGACGAGGCGCTCTCCCTTGGTGAGCCAGATGGTGTGACAGTGTGACTGTACCCTTAACCAAGGTGTGTGGCGTTTTTAACCATCGCCAGCCAAGGAGCTCATTTTCACGGCCCGGGTTGTGCGTGCGGACAAGGCGCTCTCCCTTAATGAGTTGTTAATGTGAGCATGGACCAGTCTTGAAAGTCCCACCTATACTCTCGGGTTTGAGGAGCTCATTTTCACGGCGGGTTGTGCGAGCAGACTATGCTCTCTCCCTTGGTGAGCTGTTTGTGTAAACATGACCATCTCTTGAATCTATCTAGACCAATATTTATCTAATCATCTTGCGCCAAGGACTGCTCTACAAACACACGCAGGAAAAAGGCCGTCCACGTATGAGCTCATTCCGTTTGGTTCTTGTAAGGAGCGGCTATTGAGTAACAAGAGAGCTGAAAGCATATACTTGCTCTTATCGTCGCGCATCAAGCCAAGGGGACAAAGAGCTAAAGAGTGTATTTGCGGAGGGCGCACCCCCATGCGTGTGCGTCATGCACAATTCTCGTTGTGCTTGTGTTTGTGTGTGCATGCTTGCATGTGGGTGGGCATGTGTATGTGCATGCTTTCGTGCCCACATGCATGCAGGTGTTGTGAGTCATTGTGTGCCTGCAGGGACAGCATACGACACATCTCTTGATATGGCGCGAGCCATTCAGCGCAATGTGAGTCCCTCATTCAACACAATGTGAGTCGCCCGATCAGCGCAATGTGAGTCCCCCATTCAGCGCAATGCGAGTCGACTCCAAAGTGTGTGCATGGGTGCATGCATGAATGCATGCATGCAGGTATTGTGAGCCACTTGTGCCTCTAGGGACTGCCTACAACGCAGCCCTAGAGATCGCAAGAGCTATCCAATCCTTCGTGAGTCGGCCCAAAAGTGTGCGGCCCAAAAGTGTGCGGCTCAAAAAGTGTGCGGCTCAAAAGTGTGCGGCCCAAAAGTGTGCGGCCCAAAGGTGTGCGGCTTAAAAGTGTGTCGCTCAAAAGTGTGCGGCTCAAAAATGTGCGGCTCCAAAGTGTGCGGCCCAAAAGTGTGCAGCCCAAAAGTGTGCGGCCCAAAAGTGTGTGGTCCAAAAGTGTGCGGCTCAAAAGTGTGCGGCCCAAAAGTGTGCGGCCCAAAGGTGTGCGGCTTAAAAGTGTGTCGCTCAAAAGTGTACGGCTCAAAAGTGTGCGGCTCCAAAGCGTGCAGCCCAAGTGTGCAGCCCAAAAGTGTGCGGCTCAAAAGTGTGCGGCCCAAAAGTGTGCGGCCCAAAGGTGTGCGGCTTAAAAGTGTGTCGCTCAAAAGTGTGCGGCTCAAAAGTGTGCGGCCCAAAGGTGTGCGGCTTAAAAGTGTGTCGTTCAAAAGTGTGCGGCTCAAAAGTGTGCGGCCCAAAACTGTGCGGCCCAAAAGTTTGCGGCCCAAAGGTGTGCGGCTTAAAAGTGTGTCGCTCAAAAGTGTGTGGTCCAAAGGCGTGCGGCTTAAAAGTACGTCGCTCAAAAGTGTGCGGCCCAAAGGTGTGCGGCTTGTATGTCGCTCAAATGTGTGTGGCCCAAAGGTGTGCGACTTAAAAGAATGTCGCTAAAATTTGTGCGTCCCAAAGGTGTGCGGCTTAAAAGTGTCGCTCAAAAGTGTGCGGCCCAAAGGTGTGCGGCTTAAAAGTCTGTCGCTCAAAAGTGTGCGGCCCAAAGGTGTGCGGTTTAGAAGTATGTCGCTCAACAGTGTGCGGCTCAAAAGTGTGCATCTCAAAAGTTTGCCGCTCAGAAGTGTGCGGCTCAAAATTGTGCGTCTCAAAAGTGTGCCGCTCAAAAGTGTGCGGCTCAAACCTTACCCCCAATATCCATCCACATCATTCTCCGTCCGTCACCTTTCATTTGAGACGACTTTCGGTTTTGAGGCGCCCCAAAAACAGACACCTCTCCCTCCACATCTATCCCCATCCACATCATTCTTTATCCGCCATCATTCGTGCGATCTGCCTTTTGAGGTGATTGGGTCGATTTGTGCGGCTTCCATCCCATCTCCCTCAACAATAGACACCTCTCTCGCCACATCCATCCATCTGCATTATTCTCTGGCCATCGCCCTCCGTTTGAGGCCACTGAGGTTCAATAAAAAAGCATTGCCATTCATTTGCATTTACTGGCTATCTTCTGCCATCCTCTCCCGCTTCCATTCTGCTGATTCCTCCATTTCATGTGCTTGCCACTTCAGGGGCCTCTTGCAGTTCGACTCGCTAAAGAGGCGGTCAATAAAGGCCACGATGTGGCAATCAATGATGGCCTTGCAATAGAGGAGCGATGCTATCATGGTGTTTTGAAATCGAAAGACAGATTGGAAGGGTTAGCTGCCTTTGCAGAGAAACGGAAGCCAGTGTACTGTGGGCTTTAGCTTTGGGATACTTTTTTTCACGGATTGTTTAAGAGCCTCACACCCTTCAACACGCACCACCAATTTCCAGCATTTCAGCCACAAGCTGCTGTCTAGAAGAGTGTGTTCGGAAAGACTTGCCAAAAGTGTATGCCGGTTTCAAGGTTGCAACAACTCAGAAAAAACCTAAAATGAGTGGAAAATGTTAGCGTTCAATTCTTAGCCAAGATTATATATAAACACTGTGGTCTGGCTACGTTTCAGGCTATAAAGGGTACAACACCTAGATATGCCCTTGTGCCTCTCCTCTCTAGTCAAACAGTTCTCTCGACATGGTATAGAGCTAGGTTTCACTCCTAGCCGTCACGCTTCCGCCCTAGGCTCTATCCACCCCCCTCCCACCCTAGCATACCTCCTTAGTCCTAGTTAGACTTTAGGCTATTACTATAGCCTGCGCCCTAGGCTAAGCTCTCATCCTAGGCTGCTGCCCTGCCTTTGCGCTGCCCGTATTTTGGTGCCAGCCTGCCTGCCAGCCGGCGCCAGCTCGCAGCCGCCAGCAGCGCGCTAGCTGTTGCCAGCTCGCCGCCAGCTAGCCGCCGCCAGCAGCTCGCTCGCAGCGCGTCGCCACCGCCAACAGCTCGCTAACTGCTACCAGCTCGCTGCCAGCTAGCCTCCGCCAGCCGCTTGCTTGCAGCTCGCCGCCGCCCACTTGCCGCCAGCTCGCTCACTGCCAGCTCGCCGCTAGCAGCTGCCCACCGCTCCCTTACTGCTGCTCACTCGCCGCCAGCCTGCCGCTGCCAGCTCACCGCCAGTGGCTTGCTGCCAGCTCGCCACCAGCAGCAGCTGCCAGCCAGCCGCCAGCCAGCTGCCACCCTGCCTTCCGCTGCCAGCCAGCCAGCAACCAGCCAGCCGCCAGCTAACTAGTTGCCAGCCGCCAGCCTTCCGCCAGCCAGCTGCCAGCCAGCCGCCCGCTGCCAGCCTGCAGCCAGCCAGCCGCCAGCCAGCTGCCAGCCAGCCGCCCGCTGTCAGCCTGCAGTCAGTCAGCCAGCCGCCAGCCAGCCGCCAGCCAGCCACCAGCCAGCAGCCAGCCAACCGCCAACCAGCTAGTCGCCAACTGCCAGCCAGCCACCAGCCAGCACCCAGCCAGCCGCCAGCCAGCAGCCCACCAGCCGCCAGCCAGCAGCCCACCAGCTGCCAGCCAGCCGCCAGCCAGCCCCTAGCCAGCTGCCATCCAGCTGCCAGCCAGCTGCCAGCCAGCCGCCTGCTGCCAGCCAGCAGCCAGCCAGCCACCAGCCATCCGCCAGCGAGCTAGCCGCCAGCCGCCAGCCAGATGCCAGTCAGTCGCCCGATGCCAGCCAGTTGCCAGCCAGCCAACAGCCGCCAGCCAGCTAGCCACCAGCCCGCCGCCAACTGCTAGCCAGCCGCCAGCCAGCAGCCAGCCTGCCACTAGCCAGCCGCCGCCAACCGCTAGCCAACAGCCAGCCACCAGCCGCTAGTCAGCAGCCAGCAGCTAGCTGCCAGTCGCCAGCCAGCTCCCCGCTCCCTACCAGCCGCCCGCCAGCCACTGGCCCGCCGCCAGCTGCCAGCCAACCGCTAGCCGCCGGCCACTAGCTGCTGCCGCCTGCTGCTGCCCACTGCCGCCTGCTGCTGCGTGCTGCCTCCCGCTGATGCCTGCTACGTCAGCCGCCGCAACTCCAGCAGCTACAGCTGCTACCGCCGCCGCTCCTTAGTCGCCATCGCTGCTCCTGCCGCCGCTGCCGCCGCGTTGGCCGCCGCTGCCGCTACAGCCGCTGCCGCCGCTTCAGAGCCACTGCCGCCGCTTCAGAGCCACTGCCGCCGCTGCCCATGCCGCCTGCCTGCCGCTCACTGCTCCCGCCTGTCGCTTGCCGCTGCCGCCAGGTCCTACTGCCTGCCTGCCGCTAGCCGCCTGCCGCCTGCCGCCTTGTGCCTTCCAGCCGCCAGCTGCCATCCAGCTGTCTTTTCAGCTACCCCCCAGCTGCCAGACTGTCGCTTCGGCCACAATGTCGACAACACCGAGGTTACCCAGCAACTCTTCGCACCATCGCCACCCTACATGAGGAGATGCGAGCCGACCGCGAAGCTTGGCGAAATGAGTTCGACCGAGTAACTCGACTCGCCGACGCGCAGCACGAAATGACAACGGCGGCGACGCAGCATTGGCAGTAGTTTCTTGAGGCTCCGAAGATGCACCCACCCGAGCCGTTCGATCCAGGCGATCGAAACTCCGATATTCGCAGATGGATCGCCAGCATGGAGATTTATTTCGCAGCCGTCGCATGGAGTTCGCCGGTTTGGGATGGTCTGCACGTGCGACTCGCGGCGACACTGATGCGAGGGCCGGCACTCGAGTGGGTCAGCAGCAACAGTACATTCATCACGGCAAAGCCACCTGACATCGGTTCCACACCGATGTGCTGAAACTTTTCGAGCCGATAAATTCGGGTTTTCTTGCTCGGGAAAAAAAATTATCGCCATCGACGGTTCGGGAATGTAGCGCAGTACATGCAGCACATGGATGAATTCTATAACCGGATTTCCGACCTGACCGAAGGGGAAAAAGTGCAATCATACCTTGCCGGGCTGAAGACCGAAGTCAAACGACAGGTGGCAGCGATGAATTCCACGAGCTACAATGACGTCGTATCGGCAGCGGAGCGGTTTGACCTGGTCAACGCCGGAACACGATGGGCGCACGTCGGCAGTACGCGACAAGGCGACCACTCGGCACACCCATCTTCGCCGGACCGATGGAAATCGATAGGTTTGACAGGTGGCCACGTCCGAAAAACGCCAATTTCATGTGCGATTTTTGCGGAGTGCCGGGCCATCGAATCTCAGGCTCCAACAAATAAAAGACGCATGTGCAGCGTATCGGGCGCACAACAGTGGCGGGAATTCTTCGGCCAATCAGAAGAAAAAAAGCGGGAGTCGCCAATGATTGCGGACCTAGCTGGCGAAATAGAAAAGATCCGAAGGCGGCCGCAGGATCTCGGAAAAATCAACTTCGACGAAGCTTATTCGACGCGAGCAATAGGAAATGATGGGGAAAATTCTCCAACCCACGACGAGTCTTCGTTAGGGAAAATCGTTAAGAAAAAACTTGACTCCACAAAAAAAGACTCGGCCGAGATAGGGAAACTCTTGAAAGACCAAAGAAATTATCAGGATCCGTCAAAAGTTATCTTACAAAGATGCTTTAATGAAAATTTTTTATTCTCGAGGGGCTAGAGCCTGGAAGAATTTATGGGAGGGACTCCATAAGAAGCAATTTTTTTTTTGTGATTGTACCGGTACCGAAGAAATTGGGGAAAAAATTAAGGAGTGTGGAAAGGAGTCGACCTTATTACGTAGTTAACGTCCTCTTCCGACACCAACCCACAACGACTACCCGTTCCCCAGGGAAGATGTTGGTGGAGCTCAAGCAGCTCAAGAGGAAGCCAGGGCCTACAAGAAGGTGCGAAAACCCCGAACTCCTCCTTCTCAGCAACTTCGGCATCGACGATATGCACAGTCGTCAAGGAAACTGCGGGCCCTAGAGAAAAACCTTTCTCCAAGCAGCCTCGGCCAGCTACCAGCTCAGGAGTAGATGGCAATGAAAAGGTGTGTACAGAATATTGGGATGTACCCAATGATCCTATTAATAAAACTATCTCGGGGTACTCCGAGCAACGCCTGCCCCTCGTGCTCGAGGTCATCTACATAGGGCGACGCCTCCAAGCACTTGTGGACAGCGGAGCGTCACACACCGTATATGACAAGGCAACAATCGACCGACTTTGGGAAAAGTGCAAGCCTTCAGCATTTTCTGCAATGATGGTGGATGGCAGCAAGTTACCAGTCTATGGCGGAGCAATGTTACACCTACAGATCGGACCACTGCGCTGGAAACCTGTCCTCCTCATCACGAACATAAAAGGGCCTGACTTGATATTCGGGAGATACTTCCTTAAAAAATTCAACCCCGAGATCAACTGGGTCAACCGCACTGCAAGCATCTATCACAACAGTAGGAGAACCAGCTAACAAACTGGAACGACAATGTCACAGGTCTAGGATTCAGTAGAAGAATGAATGATACTAATTTAGAATTGAATGCGTGAATACAAGCAAAGAGGCAATGCTATTTATACCTACAAAAACTCTAGGGAAGAGTAATTAGGATCTTATAAGAGAGTTCTAGAAACGAGTGGAACCGTTCGTAGGAACATCACCTAGAAGCACGGTAAGGATTCTAGAGATATGGTGACGGTGACGGAACTCTCCATGCAATAGAAAACGTGTCACGCAAGGAAAGACCCAATGTAAGGATTTTTCCAATCCTTACTTAGCGGTACTGATATCGCATACGCTCGAACACACCCGAAGCCTCGGGACGGTTCCGGACCTTTCTGACAGAATCGCCTCGGCTTCTCTAGACCTTCTAGCTCGACCTTCGGGAGTTCTCCGGGCCTCGCTTCGTCACTTCGAGACCCTTCAATCTCCTTCCCGAACCTTCACATCTCACAGTTAGACTAGCTCTGGTGTTCCTATATCTTGGCTTGCCATTCCTTGTATCGTCATTCAGTGATTCAACACTTCGTTATTCATTTCCGCGCTACTCTGCTTGTTCATTCATAACACCTGGTATTTAGAGCCACTTCCTCGCTCACTCGTTTTCATGAATTGATTTTTTTTTTTGGGGGGGGACGGAAGTGGTGGAGCCGACGTAGAGCAGGTCGTCCACGTAGACTATCAGCAGGACGTAGTTGCCGGTGCGTGATAGTCGGTACATGCCCTGGTCGTGAGGTAGTTGGGCGAAGCCCATGTCAGTTAGGATGTGGTGCAGGTACTGCTGCCACAAGCATGGGGCCTGCTTGATTGCGTAGAGGGATTTGAGCAACTGGCAGACCAGCGTTGGGTCGTCGACGTAGGCATGGGGCCGCTCGACGAAGATGTCGGCGTCAACCGGGGCGTAGAGGAATGCAGTGGCGACGTCGATTTGTCGTAGAGGAAGTCGGCGGGCGGCGGCGACGGCAACGAGAATTTGAAGGGAAGTGTGGGGGCTGATTGGAGCGAATGTCTCGGTGTAGTCGCCGCCGTACTACTGGTCGATGTTGCAAACCACCCATCGTGCCTTGAATTGTTTGATGGTCCCATCTCCCTTGGTCTT